ATCAGCATGAACTGACTCTTTGAACTAAAAGATGACTTAGCGCGTTTACACTTTCTCCCCCTTCCCCTCCTCCGTGCTTCCTAGTTATTATTGTTTATATGTTTTTTGCTTTGTTGAAGTTTATAACACTTCAACTCTGTGGGTTTCTTTTTAACCAGAAGTTCTTCACTTGTTTAGTTTTAATTCTATATTGAAGGGGATTCAATGCTCCTCTCAGTCTGTTCCCCACTGCTTCTCCATTTCCGAGTTATTTAGTCGTGTTTTATTCAACTGCTTGTCACCATCAAGTAGCTTTTCAAGAAGGGCTCAGATATGCTTTATGTTATGACTTTTAATTTAACCACACACAATCCCCTCATACAATATAAACATATAAAATAAAGCAAAACCAAATAAAACAATAGCAGGAGACTCCTGTAGGTTCCCCATTGTCCATACTATTTGTCTTTACTTCCTCTCTTCTCTGATCTGTTTTAGAAATGGTGGCTCTTGGTGTGATTTCATTCAAACGACTGGTTTCCACTTTATTTCCAATAGATTGGCTAAAATTAAACCTAACACCTTGCGTGTGGGTGAGGATGCAGAATGCTCATGCACCACCAGTGGGAGTACAAAATGGTACAGGCATGTGACAAGACTGCCTGGCAGTTCCACCGAGGCTGAACATATGCCAACCCTACGATCAAGCAAGCCCACGCCTGAATATGAATCCAACAGAAAGACACATGTAAGTTTATCAGAAGACATGTACGTGAATGCTCACAGCAGCAGCATTTGTGATAGCCTCTAGACAGAAGCTACTCAAATACTTGTTAAACAGTATACTCACACAGCTGAACACGCTTCAGTAACGAGAACGGACAATCTGCAAACATACATACCTATGTGGAAGAACCTCACTGACTTTTGTGATAAAAGACTCCAGAAACAAAAGAGCACATGCTGTTTGATTCCATTTATGTGAAGAACAAAAACAGGTGCTACTACCCCATGGCAATAGAGGACAGAAGAGTGGTTGCCTCTGGAGAGGTCTTAATTGCGTGCTGGACACGTTAGGAATCTTGATCTGGGTGGTGGCCATCTGGGTGTGTACGTAGGTACCAATCCACTGAACTCCCACTTACAATCTGCACACCTAACTGTGTTTTATACCTAAGTGGAAAAAAAGGGTTTCAGGTGTAAGGTCACCTCCACCCAGGGCTTGGAGACTGCATCTGCCATGCACAGACACATGACGGACCCAGCCCCAGTCACCCACTGTGATAGAACAAAGTTTCCAAAAACGTCTGGCCCAGTATTTTCCATCCCACAAGTGCTCTTCCCGAACCTTGCCATTCCACCACCAAGAGGTGAAGTCTCTGCTGTGTTCCCCTCCTCGCCACCCCCAACCTGGGCTAGCTTTGATGAATAGAGTGTGACAGAAGTGACACTGGCTGACTGCCAAGGCCAGGTCATAAAGGTCTTCCTCTGGCTCACTTTTGACATATGGCTTTGAAACCGCCATGTAGGAAGCTGACTGTTCTGATGTCACCATGCTGTAGAGACCATGCAGTGAGACCAGCGAAGGGCAGAAAGGTGCCTGAGGGGCCCCAGCTGTTCAGCTCTTGTCGCCCTTTGAAGTGCCCAACAAATGCCAACCAAGCAGAGACAAGCTACCCAACTGCAGATTCATGGGCTAAATTCATGGTGGTGGTTGTTTTATGCTACTCTGCTTCAGGGTGGAATGACATGCACCAGTAGGTAACCAGAACACCAGTTAACCTCCCAGCTTCCTCCGGGCCCTCCCTCCTTCACTCATGCCAGCTACACTGGGTGCGTGCAGTTCCCCAATGCAGGCATGAGCTGCCCTGACTGTGGTGTAGGAGTCTGCTCCACTCTGCCAAGCCCAGCTTCTGCCCTGCCTCCTCCAGGAAGCCTTCCAGTTCACAGTGTTGGGCATGCTGATAGTGGGGGCTGGTGATAGCAGGGGAGGCTGTGCATTTTCAGGGGCCCAAGATATACAGAAAATCTCTGTATTTTCTGCTTGTTTCTGTTGTGAACCTAAAACCACTCTATGAAATAGTCTGTTAAAGAAAAAAGCAAGCGGACTCCAAAATCAGACTGTGTCTGTGTTCAGATTGCAGATCTTCCACTTACTAGCTGGGTGCCCTTGGGCAAGTTATTTAGCTCGGAATCTCAGTTTCCTTGTCCATAAAATGGGATAGTAATAGTGGCTACTTTGCAGGTCTGATGTGAGGATTAAAGGGATTAAATCTATGGAAAGCACTCAGAATGACCCTGGCACTCCACAATGTTGACAATTATTATTATTGCCCCAGGCCCTGTGTTCCTATCTTCTCTGAGCTCCAGGAGCTTACTCAGTGTGTAAGATTCATCAGAAACCTAATATGTATGAATCATTCATTCATTTATTCAATTTCTGGAGTACCAGCTGTGCACCAGGCACTGAGCTAAGGATGCTACAATGAAGGTGGTGGACCACCTTTGCCCTCAGGGGCTTACCTTCTATGCGGATGGAAGTGGACAAATACATCAAAGAGCTGACAGATTTTCCTGAGAGCTCCAAAAGGCAAAAAATAAAAGGTGGAGACTAAAAAATAATTGGTGACATCCTTTCCTGAGGTGGGCAGAGAACTGAAGGGTATGCAGGAGCTGATCATGAGAACGGGAGGGAAAAGCATTCCAGACACAGTAGTGGGACCAGTCCAGGAGCTTCTGTGGATTGCAATAGCCGACACAATACTGAACACCCACTGTGTGCAGGGCTCTATGTGTATTAACTCATTTCATCCTCAGAACTGCCCTATCTGATAGGTACAATTATCCTCCCCACTTTACTGATAAAGAGACTGAGGCACCCCAAGGGGGGGTTTGAATGCAGACTCTGTGGCTCCAGAGACTGTGCCATGCTGCAGGTTTCTCGCTTATGCCATACCCACTGCGCCAATGGGGAAAATGAGGCCAAGAAAGGAGGTTCCAGCTCCCCAAAGTCCAGTAACAAATGAGGGGCAGAGGAGGGATTTCAGCCTGGTTTCTTCAGTGCACCCCAAGGCTGCTCGTTCTCCCAAGAGCATGTTGAGGTCAACAGGTTCCTGGTTGGGACAGGTAGACCTGCCCGTGGTCTCACCTAAGCCTTGGCTTCCTTACTTGTCCTAGGAGAGCAACAGCCCACCCCCTGGGGTTGTGTGAGATGGAATGAGTTCAATATCCAGCACACCCGGTCAGAAAGCCCTCAGAGAAGCCAGTGGGGTGATTATTCACCAGCCTTCCGGGCAGGTCCGCCCACTCACCTCATCTGTTCCCCTGGGGGGTGGGTCTGAGTCATGGGGACTTGGGTGAGCAGGACTATGGCTTGGAATGGTGCATGTTCCAGCAAGTGAGAGGAATGAGGGGCTCTTTGAGAACCAAATACGAGATTTCCTTACCCCTGGGCCTTTGCACTGTTCCTTCTTTGCCGGTCATTCTGCCCAGACAGCCCTTCCCTGTCTGGCCTCTTCCCCAGCTTTGGCTTTTGGTGGCCCTGGATGGAGTTGAGGATTCCCTCCTCTTACAGCTGCAAGCAACTTAACCTGAAGTGATTGACCCAGGGCACCAAACGGGGCTGCTCCCAGACTCTGGGCGAGGAACTGTGCTGGCAGCTCTTGAGAGGGGGAGGTCACACGGGGCGGGGCATGCTAGCACAACACCAACAGTATTGCCCTGTGGCTCCCCATGTTCCAGCTGTTTTCTCATCTGAAAAATGGGGATAACAGACCTACTTCAGGGTTTGTTAAGATTTAAGGAGCTGATTCTGGAAAACACTTGTTGTCTTATACATAATACATGTTCTAACTTTCCTCTTGTTGTCAGAGTGCCAACTTTGTACTAAGCACTGTACATAAAGTCCTTTTAATGGCACACAACTGCTACTGCCTCTGCTTTCCAGTCCTGCCCAGCGTTGCCACCTCCCTGAAGCAGCAGGGCTGGGATTTGCCCCCCACCCCGCTCCTGCTCCTGGCTCTCAGCAGGCCCCACTGGCAGTCTCTAATGTAGATGGTATCCATGTACCAGCAGATATGGGCACAGACTTTATCATGATAAATGACCATGTGTTTCTCGAGGCAGGGATAGAGTATGGATACAGCATTTCTCAGACTTGCTGGACTTTGACCACAGGGCCACTCCCAAGCATTTCTGGGCCCAGCATCTGGAGGAACACCCTTGGGAAATATGGGGTCCCTGGTCCCCAGGCTCTTCAGTGACACTTTATGTAGGAGGGGAGTTAGCAATGCTGCCCTGAGAGTTCAGACTTCCATCTCTGAGAAGGTGGCCATGACCTCTGTCCTTTGCTGCCCCCGAGGTGGCCGCCCTGAAGCTTAAGGGAAGGTGCCAGAGATGGCAGTCTGCTCTGGGAAGGACACTGAGGGCTGAGAGGGCGCACACTTGCCCGGGTCAGGAGCAGGTCAGAGGCCCTGGTGCTCCCAGGCAGTGCTCCCGCACCGAGGGTCCCAGTGGCCCACAGCCGAGCAGGGCTGTACAAGCGCTTTGGGCGCGGGGGCGTTCTGGGGGAGAGACGTGTGGGAGCTCTCTGAAGCACGGGAGCCCTCGCCCCACACTTCTCGGTCATTTCCTAGGAAATAGAGCAGATAGGGCCGTGACCGGGTGTGTGACATATGCACTGGGTTGGCGCGCCGTGCAGGCTGTGTGGGACCCTTGTGCAGGGGGAGTTTTGTGTCGGGGCGCCGTGCGCCGGCGGGACACTGCTGGGGGGACGCGTGCGCCGGTGGCCACGGGCAGGCTGCGGGCCGGGAAGGTGAGCGGCGGCGCCGTGCGGGAGGGTGCGAGCGGGCAGGTCCCGCCCCGCCCCGCCCGGAGGCCGCGCAGGTGTGGGCGGGCCGCGGACCCCGCCGGCCGGGACCCAGAGGCGGCGGGAAACAGGAAGCGGGGGGAGGCGCGGCCGGGCGGCGGGAGGCAGGGCGTGCGGCGGGCGTGCGGGTGGCCGGCCGGCTGGACGCCTGGCCCCGGCCGGGGCGGCGATGTGGGGAGGCCCGGGTAGCCCCGGCGGCCGCGCGGACGGGGGCGGAGCCGGGGGCGCCGCGGACACCGCCCCCCTGCGCCGGCGGAGCCGCCGCCCCAGCGCTGACCCGGGAGCCCGAGGCGGCGGCGGCGGCGTGCGGGGTGAGTCCCGGGGGCGCGGGGCCGGGCACCCGGCGGGCCGACGGAGCGGGGGCCAGTGGACTCCGGCGGCGCCCCGAGGGGGGATCGGCCGGCGCCTCCGCCCCGGGGCGCCCTTGCTGACCCGGCGCGCCTCCGGCCCGCAGACCCCGAGGACGCGGCCATGCCGGGCGGGGCTGAGGCCGGGGAAGCTGAGGAGGAGGCCGGGGCCGGCTCGGGGTCCGAGGCCGAGGAGGACGCGCTGTGGGAGCGGATCGAGGGCGTCCGGCACCGGCTGACGCGCGCCCTCAACCCGGCCAAGCTCACGCCGTATCTGCGCCAATGCCGGGTCATCGACGAGCAGGACGAGGAGGAGGTGCTGAGCACCTACCGCTTCCCGTGCCGCGTCAACCGCACCGGTGAGTCGAGGGGCGCGGGGTCGGGCCTGGGCGGGCGGTGCCCCAGCCTTCCCCGGGGCCTTCCCGGGGCCCACCGCGTCCCCGGCCGCCGCGCACAGAGCCCTGGAGCGCGAGGCCAAGGGCTCCGGTCCTCCGGGCCTCATCGGTGGGGTGGGATGGTCAGTGTGCCCTCCATCCTGTCGCCTCCTGAGCCACCATTACGGCCCCGCGGGTCCGCGGCGCCCATACCGGCGTCCGGATTTTGTCTGTCTTGGGATTTCCTCCCACTTCCTGGGCCCACATGAGAGTGGGGGGTTGTATGTGGTTGCCAGGGCAGGCTGGACCCGGGACCTCAGGGCCACAGCTGGTCACTACTTGGTGTCTCTCCCCTGCCCTTTGATCTCTTTGGTTGCCTGTGCCCTCTCGCTCAGTGTGCCACAGGAGAGTCATCTTTTGAGTGCTCAAGACGCATCTCAGTTTTATGGGGGTGCCCTCTCCCACAGGGCATGGCTTTGAACCAGAGCTGATGAGGGTCTAATTGTGGAATTTCAGGCACTGGTCAATGGGAGAAATATTTCACTTTGTGTTTGGGGACTGAGGGGGCTTCTCTGCCTTGAAAAGGCAGGCTGCGTTTGCTGGCCTGCGTCTGTGTGTGTGTGGTGGACAGGCAGGGGGCTGGGAGCTGTGGAAGCACAGGTGCCATGGGGGCATCCTGGCTTTGTTGGCTGTGGCAGACGGGCTCTCCCCACTGATGTGTTGGGACAGGCTCCTGTGTGTGTCACCAGCTCAAAAATCTGGGGAATGTGGGCCCTGGAGTATCAGGGGGAGAGGGAGGAAGCAGCTAGGCCCTGGGGGAAGCCCTCACCTTGACCCCTGGACTCCCACCCCCTGCCACAACCCAGGGCGCTTGATGGACATCCTACGCTGCCGTGGCAAGAGGGGCTATGAGGCTTTCCTGGAAGCCCTGGAGTTCTACTACCCCGAGCACTTCACGCTGCTCACGGGCCAAGAACCTGCCCAGCGCTGCTCCATGATCCTTGGTGAGTGAGTGGGTCCACAGTGGGTGTCAGTACCTCAGACACTGGTGCAGAGGTTCCTTACTCTGTCCCTGTTAGGGAGGCACTTCCATTATCCCTCTTGAACAGATAGGGAAACTGAGGCACAGAGACACCTGAGATGTTTTACCCAAGGCTTCACAGTAAGCTGAATGTGGGGCTGGTATTCTAATCCAGTCAGTTCAAGTTCAGAGCCCACACACTTAGCTCCAAACATGGCTCTTTCCTCTCAAATTGTTTCAGGCACGTATGTGTCAGGCATATATAGGTTTACAGTTTCCTATGTAAAATGTGCAAATACTCTAGGTGGCTTTAGAATAAAAAGAAAAGATCTTTACTTCTTCCTTCAGCTCTGCTCTGCTGCTAACAGTTTAGCTAGTCTTTTTCTTTGCATTTGTACACATGCACACAACACACACGTGCACACACACATGTGGACTCATCCCACGTAAGTTGCCCTGCATTTTGCTCTTTTCTCAGAACCACAAATTTTAGTGATTCTTCCATATCTGTTATGCCTATTTTAAATGACTGTTTAGTGTTCATTAGTGTTCTTGTGCCATAAGTCATTTAACTGGTCCCCTATTGATGGACACATAAGTTGTTTCCAGTTTTGAAACATTACAAATCACATTGGGAACTTTCTATGTGCATCTCTGTTCAAATGTGTGTCTCAGGAGGAGAGGTTCTAAGAAGTAAAATTTCTTGAAGACTGTACTTTAAATGTTGAATCAGTGTTCATCACCAGTAGTGTATGAGTGCCCATTTTGTTATACCCTCATGAATACTGGGCATCATCTTAAAAACATTTTTGCCAGTCTGATTTTTCAAAAATAATGTTATTATTTTAAGTTTGTACTTCATTGAGAGATGTTGTTCACAGCTTACTAGTGAATATACCTTGAGCAAATGACTTTAACCTATCGGTTCCTGAGATTTTTGTCTTTAAAATGGGTACAATAATAGTACCTACCATAGAGTGTTGTCATCTTAAACAATACATGTATCTAGCACAAAAAATGAAGTCAAATGTTAGTGGCTATTATCATCATCATTATTATTATTGCTGGTGAGTTGGAGCATGTTTTCCTTTGTTTGTGAAACATTTTTATTTTAGGAGTTGCCTGTTGATAGTTTTTGCTTATATTTTTATCTGTTTGTTTGCCTTCTCATTGATTTGTAGGAACCCTTTGGCTCTGAATCCTTTGTTTTTATTTGCTATATTTTTCTCCCACTCTGGGGATTGTCTTTTAACTTTGTTACATCCTTCATCATTCAAAAGTATAAAAATTTTTTTATGGGTTTGTCCATCTTTACCTCCCAGATTCTGTGTCTTGTTTAAGAAGGCCTACCCTGCCCCCAAATTAAGAACCTATATTCCAGAATTTCCTTCTAGTGTTTTTATGGCTTGGGTTTTTCTACATAGTTTACTCTCCCCCTGGATTTTATTTGCCTGACCTGACTTTTCTCTCCTCTGCCCCATAGATGAAGAGGGGCCAGAGGGCCTAACCCAGTTCCTGATGACAGAGGTGCGGCGGCTGCGGGAGGCTCGCAAGAGCCAGCTCCAGCGGGAGCAGCAACTGCAGGCTCGGGGCCGGGTCCTGGAGGAGGAGCGGGCAGGACTGGAGCAGCGCCTGCGAGAACAGCAGCAGGCCCAGGAGCGCTGCCAGCGGCTGCGCGAGGACTGGGAGGCAGGCAGCCTGGAGCTGCTGCGGCTCAAGGATGAGAACTACATGATCGCCATGCGCTTGGCCCAGCTTAGCGAGGAGAAGAACTCGGCCGTGCTGCGCAGCCGGGACTTGCAGCTGGCGGTAGGCTCTGAGGAGATGGGTGCAGTGGCATAGGGAAGGGACAACCTTTGCAAAATATGACAGTGATATGGTAGCTAGCTTGTGTCCGAGAGCCACCATCTGCTGGCTGGGAACCATAGGCAAATCCTGTGCCTCAATTTTCTAATCTGTAATATGGGGATGTCGCTAGCACTTATTTCATGGGTTATGATGGTGATTCTCAACCAGGGGGTGAATTTGCCCCAGGAAACATGTGGTCATGTCTGGAAACATTTTTGGCTGTCACAGCTAGGGGCATGCTATTGGCATCTTGTGGGTAGGGGCCAGGGGTGCTGCTAAGCTTCCTACAGGGCACAGGACAGCCCCTCAACAAAGAATGATCTAGCCTAAAATGTCATTAAATGCCAAGGTGTAGAAACCTTGGGTTATGAGGAATCTTTGAGCTTAAGACACAGCGTTTAAGCCATGTTCAGAGCCTGGCACAGGGTTGGGGCTCAAAACCTGTATCATTATTATTAAATGCTACTGTGCCATGCAGGTTACATGCATTATGTTATATAATGCCACCGAGGCACGTGCACCAGATTCTCTTTTAGACACTGAGGCTTAGGTTGTGAAGGGGCCTGCTCAAGGTCACAGAGCCAGGAAGCAGCACAGCGTGGATTTGAACCAGGGGTGCCTGCTCCAGCGCTGGCCTCTGTCCTGTGGTGCTGTTCTGCCTGCTCTCGGCAGGTGAATTCCCACCTAGTCCTCTCTGGCAGTGAGTGAGCGAGGCTGTGCCTCTTACAGGCAGAGAAACTGATGTTATGTCCTTGGTTTCTCACTGGGACTTAGTGTGGTCATAAAAACTGGTATTCTGCTGCCCCAGAAGATGTCCCAGGGTTTTAATGAGCTAATGCTTGTCAAAGATTTAACAGTGCCAGCAGCACGCAGTAGGCTGTCTCCTACAGTAGCGCCTGCAGTTCCACGGGGGTCTGGCCATGTGATTTGAAGCCCCCTGACCCTGTTAGCCTCTGCCCTAGCTGCGGTGTTGCAGGTCCCTGTGGACGATGGGGGGCATATGAGAGGCTGTGGGTATGGGAGCACCTGTGTGCCCAATGCTGGTGTGCTGGTGGATTGATGTTTGGGGAAATGAGTCCTGATAGGGGCTCTGAGGCCACTGGTGGAAGGGCCATCTGAGGCGAAGGGCAGCATGGGCAAAGATTCCCTCACTGTGCCTCAGTTTCCCCCTCATTCCTGGAGCAGGAGGTCCTGGGTGAGGATGATGGGGCCATGGTGTAGCACCTTCTGTGTGTCAGGCTTATTCTCAGTGCTTGCCATGCACCAGTGCCTTTGATTTCCCAGCTACTCCATTGGGATGGGGTGGGGGTGGGGGGCACACTGTTAGCATCGCCATTTATGGACAAGGCAACTGAGGCACAGAGAAGTTGGGTAGAGCGCTTGCCCCAGGACCTGAGATCGAAGACTTTCCGACTTTGCTCTTGGCACTGCTGGTTGGGGGTGTGTGGCAGGGAGAACTGGAGCTGCCTCCTCCCCCATGTCCTTTTCTGTGCAGTGGACACGGGACTTGTTGTGAGGTTTTCTTGGTTGAGAGGGTTCTGCTGCTCAGAGAGGGCAGCCTGATGGCCACCAGCCCAGGGCTGTTGGGAGGGCCTGTGACCTGCATGGCTTGTCTCACTTTGGGTTGGGTGTGACTGTGAGTTGGGTCCCCTGAAGTGTGGCAGATCTGTGCTTGTGACTGGAGGGACATCCTGTGTGCATGCACGGCCATCGGGAGTCTCCTGGGTGGGGAAGTGGGATGAGAAAGAGGCGCTGGAGGGGCCTCTGTGTGTCTGTACCTTGGCTGGGAGTAAGGTAATCTGCCTCTAGGCAGATAGTGACTGCTTTTTCCCAGTTTAGGGGGAAGAGGGTAAAGGGTGAAATTCAATTAACAGATAAGATTGAAGCAGCACAGCGTGGATTTGAACCAGGGGTGCCTGCTCCAGCGCTGGCCTCTGTCCTGTGGTGCTGTTCTGCCTGCTCTCGGCAGGTGAATTCCCACCTAGTCCTCTCTGGCAGTGAGTGAGCGAGGCTGTGCCTCTTACAGGCAGAGAAACTGATGTTATGTCCTTGGTTTCTCACTGGGACTTAGTGTGGTCATAAAAACTGGTATTCTGCTGCCCCAGAAGATGTCCCAGGGTTTTAATGAGCTAATGCTTGTCAAAGATTTAACAGTGCCAGCAGCACGCAGTAGGCTGTCTCCTACAGTAGCGCCTGCAGTTCCACGGGGGTCTGGCCATGTGATTTGAAGCCCCCTGACCCTGTTAGCCTCTGCCCTAGCTGCGGTGTTGCAGGTCCCTGTGGACGATGGGGGGCATATGAGAGGCTGTGGGTATGGGAGCACCTGTGTGCCCAATGCTGGTGTGCTGGTGGATTGATGTTTGGGGAAATGAGTCCTGATAGGGGCTCTGAGGCCACTGGTGGAAGGGCCATCTGAGGCGAAGGGCAGCATGGGCAAAGATTCCCTCACTGTGCCTCAGTTTCCCCCTCATTCCTGGAGCAGGAGGTCCTGGGTGAGGATGATGGGGCCATGGTGTAGCACCTTCTGTGTGTCAGGCTTATTCTCAGTGCTTGCCATGCACCAGTGCCTTTGATTTCCCAGCTACTCCATTGGGATGGGGTGGGGGTGGGGGGCACACTGTTAGCATCGCCATTTATGGACAAGGCAACTGAGGCACAGAGAAGTTGGGTAGAGCGCTTGCCCCAGGACCTGAGATCGAAGACTTTCCGACTTTGCTCTTGGCACTGCTGGTTGGGGGTGTGTGGCAGGGAGAACTGGGGCTGCCTCCTCCCCCATGTCCTTTTCTGTGCAGTGGACACGGGACTTGTTGTGAGGTTTTCTTGGTTGAGAGGGTTCTGCTGCTCAGAGAGGGCAGCCTGATGGCCACCAGCCCAGGGCTGTTGGGAGGGCCTGTGACCTGCATGGCTTGTCTCACTTTGGGTTGGGTGTGACTGTGAGTTGGGTCCCCTGAAGTGTGGCAGATCTGTGCTTGTGACTGGAGGGACATCCTGTGTGCATGCACGGCCATCGGGAGTCTCCTGGGTGGGGAAGTGGGATGAGAAAGAGGCGCTGGAGGGGCCTCTGTGTGTCTGTACCTTGGCTGGGAGTAAGGTAATCTGCCTCTAGGCAGATAGTGACTGCTTTTTCCCAGTTTAGGGGGAAGAGGGTAAAGGGTGAAATTCAATTAACAGATAAGATTTTCTTTAAATATAGCTACCATAAATTTGTCTTAACTTCTTGGAGCTTTTCTGCCACAAAATTAGCAAAGGCGTTGCAGATGGAAATGAATAAACAGCTGGTGGTGCCTGTCTTGGCTGCTTGGGTCTCCTCCCCCCAGGGACAGGTGTGTGGTAGCTGTGATTTAATACTGTGTTTTATAAGGTGCAAATTTAATGAGCTGTTATTTCTAAGCAACATAAACTTAAGGAAGGAACACTGTAATTTTGTGCTAAGTGAGTTTGTGTGCCAGGGTGAAATGCGTTCGTATTCATTGGAGCTCAGTGGAGACTCTCAGGTGTCCTGTCCCCTGAGCTCATTGGGGGGGGGGGGGGCTGCTGGCCGCTGGTCAGGCTGGAGGCCATGGTGTGTGGCTGTGGTTTGCCAGAGAGGGTGTGACCGTGCTCGCCTTTGTAACTAGCTGTCTTTCTCTGGTGGTTCACAGAGTGTGTTTTGTGAGGGGAAAGGAATGTGAGTCATGAATTTCTTCCTGACTCCTTTGTGGAGGAGGAGTGGACTGTTAATTTGTGGAACTGCCTGCTGCCTGCCTGTGTGTGTGTGTGTGTGTGTGTGTGTGTGTGTGGTGGGGGGCGGTGGTGCTCTGAGGGGTGGGGGGCTGTAAGGGGAGGTGAGGGCACTCCTAGGGCACCAGACAGTGGCACGCCTGAGTACAGACTGAGGTCACTGTGCCCTTTCCCAACAATGATTCCATTCTGTGGTTTGCCACCTGCTGCTACCCTTGTCACCCACTGTCTAGCCACTTGAGACCCCACATTAATTTGGAAAATAGTTCTGGCTGAGGGCACGCATAATCCAGCAAGCTGTTCATGAATCTCTCCTCTCAGCCAGGAGCCCACAACACAGTCACCAACACACCATGCTGGGCCAGCTACTGGTTGCACCCACTGAACTGGTGACAGGTCAGGTTCTGGGGCTTTATTTAAAGTTATGAAGGAAGCCGCTGTCACACCCTTGGTAGCTCTGCAGCCAGCCTCTGACAATTTAAAATAACCAGCGGCTGACGGCATCACTGCAGGAGCTGCAGGAAGGCCTGCAGCAGGTAGGAGGGGCGGCACTGCAGGCGTCAGACCCTCCTGCTACTCACTTATCCTCCTGAGGCCTGGAGAAGGAGGATTCTGGAACCGGCTCTCTAGGTCTGGCTGGAATCCTTGCTGGCCTCCTGTCTTAAGCTCTGAGCAGAGGAACCTTAGTGCTTGGCTCTCCCTGGGGCCTGTGGGCAGCCCAAGGAGGTGTCTGAACTCCCTGAAACGGTGCACCTGATTTTGTGTGTGAGCATTTTTCTGGGGAGAGAGCCCCAGCTTTCCTCAGATTTGTGGAGGAGCCTGTGACCCTGGAAAAGCTATCCTGAGGTCTGGGTGGCCTTGGGCTTGTTCTGTGTGTGCTGTGGTAGGTCAGTGGCAGTGTGGACCTGCCACCTGGCCATTGCTCCTACAGGGAGTGGGGGACAGGAGCCAAGGCTCTGGTGTATTTTATAGGGTTGGGGGTGCCTGGCAGGGGTGTGGGGCTCAGGGCTGCATCTTGGGCCCAGATATACCTGCCTGGGCCAGGCTCAGCCCCTCTGAAGACCCCTTGTCAGAGGGGCAGGCATGGGCCTTGGGAATAGCACCCTTCTGCTGCCCTGGGGGATGGGGGATGGGGGCCAGAGCAAGAGAGAACAGTGGGTCTGGTTCTTGTTTAGGAATCAGATCCTGGCCAAACGTGTCTGAATCCGCCCTCTTCCACTTACTTCATTTGCACCCCAGATGCTCCCTGGAGGGTGGGCCAGGCTGGTGGGGCCACGCCTACTCTGCAAACTGAAACGGAGGTCCAGTCCAGAGAGGTCAAGGCCCTTGGTCAGAGCCAGTGGGGTGGGTCCCAGTGCTGAGGGCTATGACACACTCAAGGTGGGCTCTGGGCCAGAGGTTGAGGTAGCCTTGAACTCTGACCCCTAGGAGGCAAACCGGCTGGGGGCCCCAGGTTCGGAGCGCATCCTCCTGGACATCCTGGAGCATGACTGGCGGGAGGCACAGGACAGCAGGCAGGAGCTGTGCCAGAAGCTGCACGCTGTGCAGGGGGAGCTGCAGTGGGCCGAGGAGCTGCGAGACAAGGTAATGTCGGCCTGCACCCTGTGCTCCCTGCCCTGCCCCCACCTTCCTTCTTGCTAACAGCCTGGCTCCCGGGAGAGGAGGGTGGGCCTCACTAGTTTACTTTAGCTGACCTTCCCTGCGCATCTGCGCAGTGCCAGGCAGTGTGTTAGGAACTACAGTCATTTGTTCTCCAGTATTTATTGAGATTTATCAGTGAACAAAACATCTCCTTCCTCCTGTGGAGAGTAAATTCTAGCAGGGGAGGCAAACAGTACACCATACATGTAATCCTAGGTCAATTACTGCAGGTAACGGAAGTGGTACTTGCTGTGGAAGAGGCGGAATGACGCAAGAGGACAGCTTGCAGTTTAAACCGAGAGGCCAGGGTTGGCTGGGAAGGTGTCATTGTTATGGTTATCCCCATTTTACAGATTAGGCAGCTGAGGACAAGTGGGGTGAGATCAGTCAGTGGCCCAGGCCACCCAGCTAGGGAGGTTGGTTCTTGTCACTGGGGCTCAGGCCTCTCTCTCTGGGCCTGCCTGGCACTTCTGGTTAGCTTCCCCTGGTCCCCAGGCCTGTGGCCTGCCCTGGGCACGGCCCACCCTGCTCCACCCTGTCCCCACAGTACCTGCAGGAGATGGAGGACCTGCGGCTGAAGCACCGCACGCTACAGAAGGACTGCGACCTATACAAGCACCGCATGGCTACCATCCTGACGCAGCTGGAAGAGATCGAGAAGGAGCGGGACCAGGTGAGCCTGGCCTGCTGTGTGCGCGGCCTTGGGCTGGCCGCTGGTCCTTGTGCTAGGGAAGGCAAGGAGGAGCAGATGGGACCAGGCTCCTGGCAGAGACCACCAGTGCCCTGATGGGTTTGGAAGGCAGCAAGTAGTCCAGGAGGAGCACAGACATGGAGCTGTGGGTGCTCTAGGCAGGCCAGCCTTGCCCCTGAACACACGTGCCCACCCTGAGCTCCTGGGACAGCTATGAAAGTTGGTCCTGGTTCGCATCAGATCTGAATCCCTTGTTCCCTGCAAATCTTGGACGAGGCCTACATAGGGGCAGTGCTTGCAAGTGTTTGCTGCTGATGAAATTCTCAAAAGTTCTGGCTCTTAGGCCCTGAGTACCACTGCCCTCATCTCCTGAGGCCACAGGGTGGGCTGAGGACTCTGGACCAATTTCTCCAGGTCCCCAGCCCTCCTTGCGTGAGGCTCCCCACGCAGAGGGGAAGGCAGGAGATTTTGGCCTTGGACCAAGTTTGAATCCCACTGGAGGAGTTGAAGCCCGCACATATGAATGGGCCTCAGGATCCCCTGGTGGGCTTGGAGAAAGAGCAGTGGTCCAGGTGTCTGGGGTGGGTCCAGGAATCTGCACTTCACCTGGCTGCTCCCAGCCCTTGGGCCTTTGGCCCCTGTTTTCTCTGAGGCATTGGGTAGCAGGGCCTGGCCAACATCACAGCCCTTGGGGCCCTGGTCTTCATTGTGGGGAAAAACATTGTGGGTACAGCAGGCTAGGTTTGAATACAGGCTCCTCTGCCAGCCCGGCTGCGGTAAATAGAGTCTGTGGCACACGGTAGGTCCCACAGAAGAGTTCTAAGTTGTTCTTGAGAAATGTTAAGAGCCTGGACTCTGCAACTGGACTGCCTGGGTTTCCATTCCAGCTCTGTCCCTGCTGACTTGGTTTTCCTATTTGTAAAGTAGGAATCATGAGAATCTTTAATTTGGAGAATTAGTGTAAAGATTAAATGAGCTGATATTTAGCCCAGGGCTTGGCACTCGGCACACAGGAAGTGCTTACTAAATGTTAGCTGCTGTTCCTGTGGCCTCCTGCATCTGAGAGGTTGGAGGTCAGGACAGCCGAGCCAGTGTGGCTCCTTCGCCCTCTGCCCGCTCTCCCCAGGCCATCCAGAGCCGCGACAGGATTCAGCTGCAGTACTCGCAGAGCCTCATCGAGAAGGACCAGTACCGCAAGCAGGTGCGGGGCCTGGAGGCCGAGCGGGATGAGCTGCTGACCACGCTCACCAGCCTGGAGGGCTCCAAGGCCCTGCTGGAGGCGCAGCTGCAGCGGGTCCAGGGCGGCCCCTGCCTCAAGGTGAGCAGGGTCAGGAGTACCAGCGTCCTGGTGGGAATGCCAGGGTCCTGGGAGGAGCTCTGGACTGGGGTTGGGAACATGCAGGACCTGGTGGGACACCTCTCCTGGGGGTGGGAATGTGGGGGATCTAGCAGGAGCTCTTGGCTGGGAGAGGGAACATGCAGGACCGGATGGGAGCCTCTAGCTGGTGGTGGAATACGTGGACCCTTTGGGAACCCTTAGGTGGGCTTGGGAAGATGCAGGTCCTGGGAGGGAGTGTGTGGGCTGGAGCCCTCACTCTGGGTGGGGGATGTGCTGGTTTCTGAGGGAGCTCTTGGCCAGGATGGAGAATATGCAGGTCTGGTGGAAGCCTTCAGCTGAGGTCGGGGCCTGGGTTGGTGCGCCAGGGAACAGGCGGGAGCAAGTGGGGTTGCTCCTGGGGCACTAAGAAGAGCTTGAAGCCTGTCTTGGCATATACTTGGAGAAGCCTGGCTGCCCGAGGGCCTGCGAGCATCTTGGAAAGCAAAACATGGACCCTAAAAGCCCCTCAGAGCCCAGCTAGTCCAATGCCCCTACTGCACAGGTCCCAGAGAATGTCAGGGGCTTGCCCTGGTTACATGGCCAGCCAGCACTAGTGCTGGGCCCTGACTCCTTGTAAGCCAGGTACCAGGCCTTGGACCTCCACCAGGAGCTCCGCCTTTTCCTGTCTTGGGTTTGTTTGGAGATAACACCCAGCGAGTGTGTGCCAGGTGTTTGATGCATTAGAGCCTGGAGGAATAGGACAGAGGAAGCATGAATCTATGACTTCTCACTTTGAAGTCAGTGGTTTTTCTGCTTTTAGGTAAAGGCAAAGCTGGTAATCAGGCCCAAGAGGTTCTAAAGGGAGGGCCCCTTCCTCATTCTAGCTGGGTTTTCTGTGTCTCAGCCTTTTATTTCCTGGAATGTGTCATAGCTCTGACTCAGGGCCTTTGCACATACTATTCCATCTGCCTAGACCTTCCTCCCCAACTTATGTGCTTGACGCCTACTTGTCCTTGAATTCTCAGTTCAAACCACACTTTCTCTGGAAAGCACTGTGATGCCCCCAGGTTGGGTGGGGCCCTCAAGTGCCTTCCCCGCCTGGGCACCTTCCTCCTCTGCTCTCCTGGCAGCTTGGGTTTATTTCCTTCATCTGCCTGCTTGTTTACAGTCTGTCCTCTCCTCTAGGCTATGAGCTCCATGAGGGCAGAGGTCCAGTTGGCTCATCCATGGCTGTGTTCCTGCTTCTGGCACATGCCTGGTATTCAGTAAATGGCTGTGTCTGGCCCTTGCTCAGCACCTCTGACCTCCTCCCTCCCTCTTCCTCTCCCAGGCCTGTGCCTCCTCCCATTCCCTGTGCTCCAACCTCAGCAGCACCTGGAGCCTGAGCGAGTTCCCCTCCCCGCTGGGAGGCCCAGAAACAGCTGGGGACGTGGCTGCCTTGGGGGGATCTGAGCCCCACACTTCGGTAAGATACCTGCCCTACCTTGAGTACGGCGGTGGGGCAGCTGATACTGATAGTTGTTGTATAATTACTAACATGGAGAGTGCTGTCCAGTTTGCTGACAGCTCTACTTCACACGTGAGGAAATTGAGCTCACAGAGCCTGAGTGCCTTGTTTAAGCTCATTCCGAGCCAGCTCGGTGTTGGGCCCAGGCCAGGCAACCTGGGGAGCCACTCACACACTGTAACCTTGCAGAGCACATTCCTCTGCCCTGGGCCCTGGTTCTCCTCTGTGGAATGGGTACAAACAGGGTGTCGTGAAGTGTGGGAGGGTGCAGTAGAGGTGACCTGGACCCTGTTGTGGCACTGTAGGAGGAGGCCACAGACAGTGAGAAGGAGATCAACCGGCTCTCCATCCTGCCCTTCCCCCCCAGCGCAGGCTCCATCCTCCGCCGGCAGCGCGAGGAGGACCCTGCGCCCCCTAAGAGGTAAACAGCTGGGGAGCGGGCCGTGGAGGCCCGGTGGGTGGTGCTACTATTTCCTGAAACAGCCATCTACCAGAATCCCTGATGCCAGAGTCGGGGCTGGGTTGGCACCTCTCTTACTGCCCTTAAATGACTGGAGCTCTGGGAACCCAGGTCCCAGGAGTCATAGACATGATTGAGGTCAAGGGTTAAGATAAAGACAGAGGGCAGAGTGGGCTCAGTCCCTGCCAGGCATCCTCATAGGAGAGTCCCTAGAGGTTGAGCCTCAAGATCCTGATGCTGGGGGAAGCCTGGAGCTGCAGGACTAGGGAACACAGAGAATGTCTCAGGGGGTCAGAGGCCTCAGGCAAGAAGCTGAGCCCCAGGCTCGGATATCAGCCATGCATGGAGTCTAGAAAAGCCAAGCATATCTGTTGGTGGCAAGGCCAAGGGCAGGGGATGTCCTGCCCCCTGGTGTGTCCCCTTCATGGCTTTCCCTGTAAACTGCCCTTGATTTGCTCCCTCACAAGATGCTGGGCATGGGGAGCTGTGATCAGTGTGGGCTTGTTCCGGTGTGTGCAGAGGAGGTCATGGTCGAGTGTGGGAGGCAGAGCCAGAAGCCACGAGTGACAAAGGTAGAGAGTGGCGGTGAGAGGTCCAGAGAGGTTCCCAGGAGCCCGTGGCATTCAAGAAGAGTCCAGGGCATGCTAGGTGGAAGGACGTGGGCAGAGATCAGCATGTTAGCCTCTTGCCCTGCAAGTTTGGAGCGCTGGGTGGCCCAGGTGCCCCGGGTCTAGCCTGCACATGCTTGGCGCTACAGGACCTTTTGGTGGCCTGGGGGCTGGAGGGGAGAGTGGGCGGGATGCCTGTGCCCCTCAGCTCGTGTCCCTTCACTCTCTCTGCCCAGGTCCTTCAGCAGCATGTCGGACATCACAGGTAACGGCCCTTGGGGACTCCTGGGGAGGACTCATCTCTGGGGTGGCTGTTCAGCCCACTCGAGACCTGTGCTCTGCTCTGCCCTTGGCCTGCATCCCCGTCCTGAGGCCCCACTGTGTCCTGGCCAGGCAGGGAGGCTGGGGGGAGTTGGGACCCCGAGTCCAGACCTGGTCCCCTCTCCCATTCCTGGCTGGGCTGTACCCTCAGTTCCAGCCTGCCCTCCACCTTCTTCTAGGAGACTGAAGGTCACCCTGGCCAGCCCTGGCCCAGCTCTGAGCCTAGCTGGGTCCCTTGTGTTCCTGGGGCCTCAGACCTTCCAAGGCCTCAGACCTCTGGGCCCTGGGCCATCCCTTGGCTTGAGGGGCTCAACCCTTTTTCATGGACCCCCAGCTCCCCTTCTATGCCCCTGTTTCTCAGTCTGGCACCCCTAAACCTCCCTCTTCCTCCCCAGGGAGTGTGACGCTCAAGCCCTGGTCCCCTGGCCTCTCCTCATCCTCGTCCTCTGACAGCGTGTGGCCTTTGGGAAAGCCGGATGGCTTCCTGGCCCGAGGCTGTGGCCTGGATCTCCTCAACAGGTACCACAGCTGCCAGGGACGGGGTGGGGCAGGGCGGCTGCGTTCAGATGCCTGGAGAAGGGTGAGCAGGGCTGAGGCGGTGGGGGCAGCAGCTGAGCCTTTGCTTTGTGCAGCAGTCAGAATGTTAAGGTTTTTAGACAGAGGCTGACCTTGCCTTCAAATCCTGTCACCACTGCTTATTGCCTATGTGGCTTGGCTGGTATTTCACATCTCTGGGCCTCAGTTTCCTCATTGGCTATAGAGGATGGTGATCTGTTCTGCATGCCAATGTGGAGGTTCAGGACTAGGGCCCGGAGAGCACCTGCCCTGCCAGAGGCTCAGTAAATCATAGCTGTTACTTGTACTGACACCCTGCCTGCCCGACCTGGCTCTGAGCTCCCGGCAGAACTGAGTGCCCAGCAAAGCTTTGTGCTGTGGGTGGGGTAAGGCCATCACGGGGGCCCCTGCAGCTGGGCCGACCACAGGCCCATGACAGGAGTCAGGAAGCATACTGGCTCAGCGTGCACAGCGGGTGATGTGCCCTGTCGGCAGTGGCCTGCAAGTGGCCTCCTTGGTGGAGCTGGCCGTGGATCTCAGGAGGGTGGGTGAGAGAGGAGGCCGTGCTGCATATGTGGCCTTTGAACTCAGCCATGGAGAAAGAACAGGTCTGAGGAGCTGGGACTGGGAAGAGGAGAGCAGAGGCTCTCCAGGAAGGGCCAGGAGTTTGGTGAAACTGGAGCACGAGGTGGGGCGGGGAAGGGTGAAAGCCGAGGGCCGAGCTGAGCCACCGCGGGCTCTGTGAGTCGGGCGGGGAAGTGTGGACTTGGGCTTGTGCACCCTGGGAGGGTTCAGCTGTTACTAAATTCAAGGCCAGCTGTCGGCTGCCTTGAGACATTCATTTTCTTTGTCCTGGGAGGCGGCCGTATTGTGCTTATTGCTATTTAATAGAGGAGGAAACTGAGGCTCAGGGAGGTTCTGTGACTTGCCGGAGGTCACACATATGGGAGGTGCCAAGACCAAGGTCCACAGTGGCCTGATCATATGTGGGTTTTGGAAAGAGTGTAGGAAACACTGAATGTCAGAGCTGGAATGTGGGAATGCTGCGTCCAGGGGACAGATCACACAAGCAGGCAGGGCAGGGGCCTCCTGGAAGCAGCTTGGCCAGGCCCAGGTCTGGCCCCTGCCCCCACTCTCACCCTCCGGCAGCAGGCCCAGTGTGACATTGTTTCTCTCTGTCCAGGACGTGTTCTGGGGGAAGGGGTGGAGGCTCCTCCCTTCCTGCCTGCCTGGCCCTTCCTCCCTCCAGCTCTGGCCTGCAGCAGGGGTCCTGGCTGCTGTCCAGGGGGCACTGGGATGTGGCAGAGGGAGTAGGAGGGTCTGACCTAGCCCCTGCCGGGGCCACATGATTACGGGGGCCACCTCTGCTGCCCACGCTGTTTCTGGGGAGGAGGGAGATGGGGAAGAACACAGATTTGAGTGGGGGCAGGGGTGGTTAACTAAAAGAAAAAAGAGGTGGACAGCGCGGTGGAGAGGGAGGTGAGGTTGGCAAGAGCCTGACAGTGCTGGGCTGGGGGCGCGGTCTGCACGGCTCCTGGGGCAGTGTTGCAGCACAGAGCACAGCGGGGAAGAGCAGACCTTGGGACCAGCTGAAATCTCTGCTCTGGCACTTGCTTCTGTGGGGCCTTGGGCAAGACAGTTTCTCATGCCTCAGTTTCCTGCTCTGTAAAATGAGGTGACAGTAGTGCCAGTCCCCTAGGGTTGTCGTGGCGGCTCCTGGGTTCCTGTTAGAGTGCTTAGAACAGTGCCTGGCACACAGTGAGTGGTCGTGCGTAGCCGTCATGGCTTCAGTCTTAGACTGGCCCTGCAAGGCTGCCGTTTTTAGCCCCTTATACAGCTAAGGAAAAAGGCCCGGCAAGAGTCAGGAATTTGTCGTGAGGCCACTTTGTGGTGGGGCTGGGGATTTGTTGTACCTTCGCCCTAAGTGACTTAAACTCACTCTGTTCACTCTGCTGGACATTTCTAGCCCTTTGGACTCCCCTGCCTTTCTTGGCTCCTAGGGCTGCAGGGCAGAGCAGAGGATGAGGGTCTGTGGGCAAGCTGGGGCCAGCCAAGGGATGGATGGACAGATGGTTGGGCGGGGAGACAGGGAGGAAGAGAGGGAGGAAGAGCCAAAGAGTAAATTTGGAAGTGTGGTGCTGAGTGGGGAAGGGCAGGTGGGGAGAGCACCAGGAGAGGGTCGGGGTGCTGTGTCCCTGGTCGGGCCCCTGCCCATAGTTGTCATGTAGACACGGAATCTCTGGCACTGCCCCTCCTTGTACAGAGAGGGTTTTATTAGGTCATTGCCTGACTCCACCACCTACCAGCTGTGTACCCCGTGTCAAGTTATGATTTCCCTCAGTTTAACCTTTTCTCTAACAAAGGGGGAATGACAGATGGCTTCCATAGTGTTGTCAGGAGCATTAAATGAGGTAATCGGTGTGAGAGGCTTCCTCGTCTCAACTTCCTTGGTCCCTGACCTGGAACACAGCAGCCACGTACACTGCGTTACCATCTTCCCATAGTGCCCTGGGGTGGGAAGCGCTCATCCCGGCCAGCTGGCCCAAGAGTGCTCAGAGCTGGCAGAGTGAAGGACTGGCCCTCTTCCCCTCTGTCCCCCTGCCACCTGACTCCCAACCTGACACTGGGGGAGGGGGCTGGGAGCCTCAGGCAGGGTTGGGGTCCATCAGATTGTGTTGCTGGAAATGCAGGAGTCCTGGAAGGTCGGAGCAGGCAGCCTGCTCCACCCACCATGTTCCTCTCTCTTCCCCTTCCGACCTCTCCTCCAAGGCCTGAAGTGGAGAGGGGCTGGAGCTGGACCCTGCTCCTAGTGAGCTCCCAGGGGGCCTCTGGGAGGTATTGAGAGCTGGTAGCCCAGGGCCAAGGAGGTTCAGAGAAGTCACTTAGTCCTTCGAGAAGGCAGGCAAAGGGCATCCTGAAGGAGAAGAGGCCTGGGCTGAGTTTCAGGGAGCAGCAGAGTTGGCAGGAAGAGCCTGTAAACCTGGGTTGGCCCAAGGAATTGCAAGGAGGGGCATGCTGAGGCCAGGGTTGGGGGTGAGCAGGTGTGGAGGGCCTGGGTGCTTGCTGGGTCCTTGACTAGGAAAGCCATGATGGTCACTAGTCTGTGGGTTTGAAAGGTGAGGAATCTGGGCCACAGAAAGGTGACTTGTTCTGAATCACACCTGGTAACAGTGAATACCTAATTTTTATCGAGCACTTAGGTTTACCCGGCACTGTTCTAAGTGAGCCCCATGTTTTAACCCACTGAGGTGCACAAGGTGAAGGGCTGCTGAGGATGGAAGCTAAGCAGCCAGGCCGCGTCCCCTGAGTTCCTGCTGGCGCCCTCCACTGCTGCTTTCCTCAGACTCCTCTCACCACCACCCACAGTGAGAGAAGTCCAGTACACGTGCCTGAAACAAAAGGATCACAAGACGATAGTTGCATTTACTTGCAGGGAGGCAAACATATTTTCTATTCCATTCCACTAAAAAACAGTACTGGTCATGATCCAGTGAATTTCACAGCCAACTTGGGACTGGCCTGCAGTTGGAAGGCCCCTGGAGCTCTCTAATTTCCACCTCTACCTGTATTAGCTTTACGTTTGTCTGACCCTCACAGTGGGAGATGGGTGCCATTATTGTCCTGGCTTTATGAGTGTGGTGAGAGAATAAGGCAGCCAGCTCACTCACCCAGGTCTGGGGCCCAGCTGATACTGGGGTTCAGAGCTGGACTGTGTTGCCCTGGCCACACGGCCATTGGGCAGCATGGCCAGGCCTGGGCCCAGGCCTCGCGTCTCTGTCCAGGCCTTTCTGTGCCACACTGGTGCAGCCAGGACAGGCCCAGTGCCAAGGGCGCCTGTGAAGGTGGCGCCGATGCCTCCTGCACCCATGTCCGGCCACAGCCTCTCGTGCCCAGCTCTGTTTTGACTGAGGGGGCAGGAGCTGAGACAAGCTCCCTGGGGCCATCCCCCCTCTGTGTGGGTGCTAAATGGGTTCAGGTCCTTGCAGCCTCGTCCACTGCAGGCTGGCAGCGGGGGGCAGCATGGCTGTGAGGGCTGCAGCTGCCCGGGTGGTTGGGGAGGGGAGTGGAGCCCCAGGCTCCGCCTGAGCTCCTTCTCCAGCCCGGACACCTGCTGCGTCTGGCCTGCCTCCTTCCCTAATCCCATGGCCGTGGGGCATGGAAGACAGTTGAGCTCCCCTGTCTCAGCCTGGCCACAGCCCCATCAGTGCTCACGCAGCAGCAGGCAGAGCCCTGCCGTGATGGCGTCTTGGTGACTCTGTCTAACCCGTCAGCAGTTCCCACTGCCCAGATGCCTTCATTCTGTGCCCTCCACAGGCTGGCTCCAGCTTGCCTTTTCTGGGAGCTGCTTCCCAGGATGTCAGCTTAGTTAATGAGTGCAAGGAGCTTAGCATGGTGTCTGGTGCGTGGGCAGCACCCAGTAAGTGCAGCTACTAGTAATACGGTTGTTATTAAACTCTTCCACACATCCTGCCTCCTGCCCTCCACCCCTCACACCCGCCAGCCCAGAACACCGTCTGCTCTCTCCTGTTTCCGAAGTGCCCCTCTTCCTCACCTCCATGTGGCCCAGCTGTTTCCTCCCCTGGGAAGCCGCTCCTGTTTGTCCTTCCACTACTGGCGGTGACCGTCTCTGTGTTGTGCTCTGATGGTGACCTCCCTTCTTGACTGAGCATAACAAGCTTTTATTAGTCATCTGCTATGTGCCAGCTGCTCTGTTTGGTGCTCGGGGTCCAGAGCTGAACTTGACAGCAGGCTGTTCCTGAGGATTTCCTTTCTGATGGAGGGAAAGAGAGGGAAAATGCAAAACCAGAAGGGAAATGTGGAAGGGAAAAAATGGCAAGGTATAGGTGGTGCGCTGCTGCCCGCATGGAGCTCTGCCTCACCGTGTGCAGGGGCCTGAGGGTGGGAGGCTGCTTTTGACCCAAGCTTTGAAAGGTGAGCAGAATTTGCCAAGCAGAGAAGAGTGCGGAAGGGCACTCCAGGCAGCAGGCACAGCAGGTGCGATGGCCTGGAGGTGGGGGTCATGGCATACTTGGGAAATCGCAGTGGTCCTCCAAGAATGTTGATCTGAATCAAATGCCGACTAACTGTAATTTCCATCTCCCTTCTATCTTCTCAGGTCTCTGGCCATCCGACTGTCTGGCCGCAGCCCCCCGGGGGGGCCCGAGCCTCAGGACAAGGGCCCAGATGGCCTGTCATTCCTTGGGGACAGCTGGTCTGGGGCCATGGTGCGGAGGGTGCTCTCTGGGCCCGGGTCTGCCAGGGCAGAACCCAGGGAGGTGAGGCCCCGCCCCTTGAGCTGGGGGCCAGGCCAGTGCTTCAGCTGGGGCTGGACACCCTCTGATTGGTGGATCTAGATCACTGGGTGGAGTTTCTGGGGATGGGCCAACGCAGAGGCAGCTTCAGTGATTCGTCTCTAATTGCCCCTAACCAGTGGGGGCCCACTGACAGCACCTGGACAGGTCCCTGCCCTAAACCTGGGAAAGACCTGGGTGAGCCAAGCTGGGTGGGGAGCCCTGCTGATGGGAGCAGAGCCCGACTGCTCATGCACCCTCTGAGGTGGGGGCATCTGAATTATGAGACGTGGTCTCCCACCCCGGTCTTCCTCCAGCCCCAGGGCTGCCCTGCCTTTACAAGCTTACTTCCTCTCCCTGCCTGGGTTTTCTCCAGTCAACTGTGGAGGCTGCTGGCTTGGATGGGGCAGGCCTGGAAAGCGAGGCCCAGCAGAGAAACTTGCTCTTGAACCACGTGTCCACCCTCCACTTCCTGATGGACTTCAAGGGTAAGTCTAGCCTTGGGGAGGGCCTGGGAACTGCATGAGTCCTAGAAGGTCAGAGCTGAGAGCACAGGAGAGGGCTCGTCCAGCCTGTGGTGCAGGTGGATCAGTTGAGGCCAAGAGGGAGATACTTGGCTGCCTCCCACTGAGAGTGCTTTTCCCCGGGGTGGCTGCCTCCTTGCGGTTGTCTGTCCTGGTGTCCGTCCTCTGGCTTCTCCTCAATAAGCAGCTTACAGTGAAAGGAGTCCAGAGACCTGGGTTAGAGTCTTGGTTTTGTCCCTGGTGGGCTTGGTGGCTTTGGGCAAGTTGTCCCCTCTCTGGACCTCAGACTCCCACTTTAAGAAGGCGAAAGTAGGGTCCTTGCAGCTCAGGCCTCGAGAGGGCCCTGTCTGACTTATTCCTCCTCTGTCCTGCCTGCTGTGCCCTGCCCTGTCCATGCCCAGCCTGTCAGTCCTTCCACGAGGCCCTGGACTCCTGGACAAAGGGGCTGGGCTCTGAGCCCTTCTACATTCGAGCCAACTTCACCCTGCCTGAGCGGGCAGACCCCCATGCCCTGTGCGTGAAGGCCCAAGAGATCCTACGGCTGGTGGACCCGGCGTACAAGAGGCGGCAGGAGTGGTTCTGCACACGGGTCGATCCCCTCACCCTGCGGGACCTGGACCGGGGCACTGTGCCTAATTATCAGAGGTGACGCAGAGCCAGGAGCCTGGGCACAGGGTCCCACTGGGAGCTGGGACAGGGTTGGGGGGCTCTTTCTCTTTCCTCCTATAATCCCTCACCATCTTCTGGGGCAGGGTGGGGTCTGGAGGAGAGGGGTGAGGGGCTGTCCTTTTCCCTACAAATGTATGACAACCCCTCCCCACCCCTGCACAGAGCCCAGCAGCTCCTGGAAGTTCAGGAGAAATGCCTGCCCTCCAGCCGGCACCGTGGGCCCCGCAGTAATGTAAGTAGGGTTGGGTGAGAGGCCTGCAAGGGTGGGGTTCCAAAGGGGGAGGCCAGGCGCCATTCTCTGGCAGCCCTGGGGGAGGAGAGGAGGGGTGCCCACTGCACTCCTTCACTGGGACTTGGCTGAAGAACCACAGAGCTCACCATCCTGGGTAGTTGAGAGGATTAAGTGAGATAAGAGTGCCCTGTGCTCAGGAGGAGGCCTGGCACATGGGAAGTACTTGACAAACAGCAGTCATGTTCCCTTTTCCAATCCCTGGACATGGGTCTGGGATGCTCCTCACAGTACACGTGGGCAAAGTAAGGTTCAGAGAAGTGAAATGACTCAAAAGGCTGTGGTGCTAGAGGGGGCTTGGGAGCATGGGCTCTGGGGCCAGATTGCCTGCATTTGAACCCCAGCCCTGCCACCTACCAGCTGCGATCACTGGGCCCTCCCTTGAGGCTGTTTCTGTAAGCTGGGGGAATTGTTCTGCCTGCCTTGTGGGCCTAGAGGCTTCAGTGAGCTCATGACACCCAGAGCCTAGTGGACGTCTGTCACATGGAGGCGTTTGATTCCTGGTACTGTCTTTACTGGTTTTATTGATCTTCCTACCCAAGGACCCGTGCTAGGACAATGAAAGAAATCCCAGAGTTTGTCTCTTATAAGACAGTAGGTTCCTCTGGCCTCTGGGCCTCAGTTTCCCCATCTGTAAAGTGGGGGATAGGCTTCTCTAGCTCTGACTGGCCTTGACAGGCTTGCTTCCTTGAGCCTGTAGTGATGGCTGCCCTCACCTGCCTGGGGGGCTGTGCTGGGCCGGGTGGGGGCAGGAGAAGGCCCGGTAGGTCGGGGCTGTCTGTGATCCGAGCTTTTCCGTGGAGCCTGGCAGCAGAGCCCCGGTGCCTGGGGTCCGTTTATTCTCTCTCTGAGCGTGGGATGGAGCTGGGCTTTCAGGTGCCCCTCTTCCCCTACCCCCACCCCAGCTGAAGAAGCGAGCCCTGGACCAACTTCGGCTGGTGAAGCCCAAGCATGTGGGGAGCCCTCCAGGGGACTCCCTGGAGCAGCTACTGCTAGAGCCCTGCTCAGGTGAGTGCACGGGGTGAAGGTGCATCTGAGCTGCTTCTGGTGCCCAGGAATGTCCACATCTGGGTGTCTTTTGGCCTTGGTGGTCCCCCTGGTGGGAGATCAGCCACCGGGGAGGGGGAGCTGGTTGCGGGAGGCAGATGTGTACAGGGTGATTGTGGGTCCGTTTGAGTTTGGGGCACACACAGCTGGGCCTGTTCTTGATGGGTGTGGTGGCAGGTGCTGTGAGGACCCCAGAAAGAGGACCTGTAGGATGCAGTAGAGTGAGGCCTTGGGCAAGGTCAGGGAGAAGGGGTTGAGAAATCCTGCTGAGGGAAAAGTAATTCTGAGGGGCAAGGTGGAGAGGGTGGTTAGCAAAGACTTCTTGAGGGGCGATTGAACTGGGGCCCTCAGTGATGAAGAGGTTTGCTGCAAGACAGAAGGCATAGCTTGTGCAGATGGGCAGAGGTGTGGCTGTGTGTGATATTTTGGAGGACATAGAATACAGCAAGTGGCTATCAAGTGCCAGCTCTGTCATTCATTGCGCTTGGTCCAGGGGACACAGTAGTTGCCACCTTGGAACTTACTACCTAACTGGGGGGTTGAGGGAGGCAGATGCCTGCCAGGCAAGTAATCACACTTATGAACATAATTGCAGTGTGACACGAGGTGGAGGAGAACTGGGTGCTGTGGAGCACGCTGGAGGCCCACTTGTCTGGGGACCAGAGAAGGTGTGGCCTGGGCTCTAGAGGAATAGTGAGGGTTAACTGGGCCAAGAGGTGCTGGGGTGGGGCAGCGGCTCCCCAGGGCATGAGAAGGACCTGGGATTGGAGGCAGCTGACGGGAGGCCTGTGAGACAGAGTAGAGTCTGTGGTGGGACACAAGGCTCGCTGCCTCCCCAGGCTGTGACAGGGCTGGGTCACCCATGTGGAGCATGTGGCTTCTTTTCTGAGAGTCGTGGGAAGTCACTGGCATGTTGAAAGCAGGGTAGTTGCAGGATCTGACTTTGGTTTTAAAGCCTCTTTCTGAGTGGAGAATGGCCTGTAGGGGGCAGGGATTTGTAGTCTACTGCTGCCATCCCAGCGAGGTGTTGGCAGGTCTGCTGTTGTGTGTTGGGTGGGTGAATGGGGTGGGGTGAGCAGCAGGACTTCAGAAGGGAAATGGTGGGCTTAAGAGGAGGTGATGGGTTTTGAGTATTGAGGGGACTCGCTACCTAGGAAGGAGGAGCTGGGGCCCTGCTTGCACCCCCCATCTCTTCTGCACCCCTCCTTGCCACAGAGCCAGAGCAGAGCCTCAAACCCTACAGCCTCGTGCGGCCATTGCTGGTGTCTGCCCTGCGGCCTGTGGTGCTCTTGCCTGAGTGCCTGGCACCCCGGCTCATCCGCAACCTGCTAGACCTGCCCAGCTCCCGGCTGGACTTCCAAGTGTGCCCAGCAGGTGAGCCCGTTTACCCAGGGAGGGGTGGGCTGGGTGGCACCCTGGGCAGCCAGGCCCACTGGCCCTTCGATCCTGTTCCTGCCTCTCCGTGCTCTGCAGAAAGCCTCTCTGGGGAGGAACAGTGCACATCCTCAGCACCTGGAGCCCCCAAGGCCCGGCCTGCCACCCTCGGGCTGGGCAGCAGGATCCGAGCCATCCAGGAGTCTGTTGGGAAGGTGGGTAAGGGGGTGGGTCTGCCGTTCTGGGTCTGAGAGCTGGGGTCTGGGTGCAGGCCTGTGCTGCTGCTCCTTTGCAGAGTGACTCTGGGCAAGTCCCCTGCTTTTGGGCCTGTTTCCTCACCAAGGGGGAGGTTGAGGGGTGGCCCACGTGAGGTATTTGGCTGATAACATCTCACCGATTTGCCCTTGTCCTCAAACTTGCCTCGACCTTGGGAACTGGCGGTGGGGGCTGACATTGGCTCTGTCCTACAGATAGGGAGGGTGAGGCCCAGAGTAGGGAAGTGACTTATTTCCCCAGATGCCCCTCTTCCCTTCTGGCTCTTTCCTCACTCCCAAGGACCTTCCAGATCGGGAAGCAGGGCTCTGTAGGGGCTGTGCTATGGGGCCAGTCCAGGTGGGGGCTGCGGGAACAGGGAGGTCAGTGTCTCTGGGCCAGGAGTAAAATGTAGCCTTAATTCTTGAGAAGAAACACTGTCTGCTGGAGCTGGGTGCCCGGGGCGTGCGGGAGCTGGTCCAGAATGAGATCTACCCCATCGTCATCCACGTGGAAGTGACTGAGAAGAATGTCCGCGAAGTCAGGTGAGGCGGGTGGGGGGATGGACAGGACCCCAGTGTTTCCTTCTCTCTGTGGATGTCTTTGTCTTTCTCTGTCAGTGTCTCTCTGTCTCTGTCTGTCTGTCTCTCTTCTCCAGCCCTTTGTTTGCTGTCTGTCTCTGTCTCTCTCCATCTGTCAGTCCTCTCCTCTGACTCCGTATCTGTGTGCGTGTCTTGTCCTCACCGTGACCACTGTCCCTCCCCTCTCTCGGCAGGGGTCTGCTGGGCCGGCCCGGCTGGCGGGACTCAGAGCTGCTGCGGCAGTGCCGCAGCTCCGAGCAGGTGCTCTGGGGGCTGCCCTGCTCCTGGGTGCAGGTGCCCGCCCACGTGTGGGGCCACTCGGAGGAGCTGGCCAAGGTGGTGCGCAGCCGCATCCTGCAGGAGCAGGCCCGCCTCGTGTGGGTGGAGCGTGGCAGTGTCCGAGGCGGTGGTGCCAGTGGCAGCAGCGAGGCCTGAGGGGCCCATCTGATGGCCAGGACTTCCTCATGCACTTCAGAAGCCGCCAGCGGGACCCTGGTGTCTGTGGAGCTGGGTCCTGCCCAGCCTGAGCCTTCTTAGACCCCTGGCCTCTGGGACATGGGGCCTCGGCTCTGGGCCCTGTCCCGGAGGCAGCCTGTGGGAGCCCTTGGGGCGGAGCTCCCACTTGCCCCATCCATGCTGCTCTGGGCCTTCTGTGCGCCTGTGTCTCTGTGTTCCCACCCTGGGTCTTATGCACATATCTGTCTTCTCTGTCATTGCTCACCCCGAGCATCTGAGTTCTCATTCCTTTGCACAGGTTTACATGCCCAAGTTCTCACATAGCAGGCCCACGTTCTGTTCCTCCCCTGGGCACGTGGGGTCCTCCGGGTCCTCAGCCTGATCTGCCACTGGAGCCCCAAGCCTGTCCTGCGTGACTCCTTCTGGTCCAGTTCACATTTTTGTGTAAACAGCCACATTTGGGGATCGTGGCTTCCCCAGTCCATTGTCATTTGTGTTTGTGTCTTCAGCCCCATGTGTCTGTGGTTCTGTCCTATGTAAACGTCATGCCCCACCTCCGTGACACTTGGGCACTAACACTTGCGTGTTCCCGACGGGCACACTCAGGACCATGTTCTCACAGCACCTGCTCCCTGCCACCACTCACCTCTCAGAGAGATGGGTGTGGATGGAGCTGGGTGCTCCGGGACCAGAATGTATAGCTCGTGGATTTCTAACGGGCCTTTTTCACTTAGAAACTGCACATTATGGAACATTAAACACTTTGTCATAGAAGTTGGTGGCCTTTGCTTGCATCCCTGGCCTGGGGCCCCTTCTTCTCCCTCCCCACCCTCAGTTCAGGCTGATACCACCTGTCAGGTCCCTGTTTGCCTGTGGGGAGGGTCAGATTTCATTCCTGACTCATCCCAGAGCCGCCCACCATCTGTGCTGGCATCACCTTACCTGCCCCTGAATGATCGGAGGAGGGCCCTACAGACAGGCCACCCCTGTGCTCAGCAGCCCTGTTTGTCTGATCATTAAAGGACTGTCTCTTCGAGAGGGGACACTGAGGCCAGCAGGACATGGTTTTAGGTTTAGGGGCCTGGCTGCTGAGTCCAGGAGACCATGAGCAAGCCTCAGTATGCAATTTTATCCCTGAGACAGCTCCACTAGGGAGAGGAAGTTCCCCTCCAGTGGGAGAAATCCAGGCAGGCTTACTGGGGGTGGTGCTGCTTGAGCTTGGGGTTTGGGATTCCTTTTTTTAAGGAGCATTTATTGGACCTATATACCTATGTGCTGGTCTTGGTCCTCCTATGACTGTCCTTGGCCATAGTGATGAATTTGGGCAGGCCTGTGCAGGATTTTGGGGAAGTGGGTTACTAGGTAGAGGGAACCTCAAGAGCACAGGCTCAGAGGTAGAAAATGAGTTGAGTTTAGCTACTTGGGGAGTGGCAGGAAATGAAGCTGGGAAGTCTAAGTCTAGGCGTGGGGGCTATCTAGATCTCAGTGTCCTTTGAGACTGGTTCAGACACCATATCTGCAAAGCCTGTTTGATTCTCCTGGCCCTCAGGATGTCTTGGCCATGCTATGCTCCACCTCGTGGCAGGATGGTGGGTCTCTGTGGGTGGCTATAGATTTCCTGGGCATGGAGAGTGGGTCATTCTCATTTGGGTGCACAAACTGCCCCCCTTTGCTGTGTGCCTGGCCCAGTGCTTGGTCTATGGCCATATGAGTGGGTGAAGTTGTGGGAGCCCAGCAGCTCAGCTGCCTTTCTCTGATCCCAGGTAGGTGTCTTTTTGTCCCCATTTTCAAATGATGAAAGTAAAGTTCAGAGAAGTGAGGAAACTTGCCAAGAGTCACACAGCTAGTGAGTGGCCCAGTTAGGATTTGAACTCCAGTCCGTGTGGTATGACACCTGCAATCATACCTTGGTGATCCTGTCCTGGGAAGATGGGCTGCAAAGGGGCCTGGCAGGGGCTGGCCCACAGGAGGGTGATTCAAGAGTTCATTTTCCTTTCCTATCCCTCCACAGTCTTAATGCGGGCTTGAGTCACAGCAGGCCCTGTTCAGTTCACCAGCCATCTGGTACTTTCTTGTATATAATTAACAAATATTTATTGAGCACCCACTGTGTGCCAGGCACTGTTCTAGGCACTGGGGAATTCAGTGAATAAAAGAGAAGAATCCCTGCGCTAATACTCTCATGAGGAAAACAGACAATAGATCAGTGAAGTATATAGGATTTTGGAAGATGAAAAGTGCTATGGAGAGAACATAGCTGAGAAGGGGGCCTGGGAAGGACAGGCCTGGGGACTGCATAGGAGGGGGAGTAAGGATTGCAACTTAAAGCAGTCTGGAGGCCTCCTGGAGAAGATGACATTTGTGTAAAGACCTGAAGGAGGTGAGGGAGTGAGATGTGCAGACCTCTAGAGAGAGGCCTGAGCAGGAATAGCGTGTGCAAAGGTCCTGAGGTGGGTGTCAGGATTAGCCAGACTAGCCAGAAGCCCAGTGGGTATGGAGTGCAGGGAGCAAGGGGAAAGTAGTAGGAGGCAGGGTTGGGAGTAATGGAGGCCAATTCACACAGGCCCTGTGGGCTGGTGATCTTTTGCTTTTGTTCTGAGAGATGGGAGGCAGTACCGGCTGTAGCAGAGGAGGGATGGGATGTGAGAGACCTTGTACAGAACAAGACAGAGGTGGTGGCCTGAGAAGGCCCTGTTGTCTGTTCATTGGCCTGGCTGGGAGAGAGGTAGCAGTAGACCATTGAATGAGATGGGGTCCATGCACAGCCACAGCAGGACAGGCACCGGAGGGGGCTTGCTGTGGGCTAGATGAGGGTCACAGACCTGGTTATACCTGGCTCTGTGGCTGAGCTGCTGGGTCACCTTAGATCATTCTGTGCCTCCTGTGCTCAGCTATAAATTGGGAAAAACAAGCCCAGTGCTATGATGAAGACCAAAGGAACGGAGCAAACTCCTGAGGGTGCCCTAGTTGGGAGGGGGCATCAGGGAAGCCTTCCTGTAGGAGGGTAGCCTTGCACTGAACCATCAAGTCCAAATAGAACTAAGCCTGGTGGAGGGAACGTGGATAAGGATGGCAGGGGTTGGGGAGAGTACCCAGGAGGAGGAATAGTTGGAGCCAAAGCTGGGAGGCTGGATAGCAGGACACCATAAAGTACCGGGCATTAAAAGAGCTAAGCTGACAGTCTCTGGGGAGTGGGAAGGCTGGAGGGCCCCTTCCTTCCATCCGGGCATGGACGGCTTGCTGTCGTCCCCACCCCCACTGTGGCAGCTGGCACCCCTTCAGCGGGTGCCTCCTTTTCAACCACCTCTGGGCTCCCTTGGGCCAGCCCCGCCCCTTGGGCTGTGCTGCCGGCAGGGGCGGGGCCAGGCTCCCCAGAGCTGGCGGCGGGAGCCCAGAGGAGCAGGTGGAGGCCTGGCGGTGCTGGGCTTGCACGGCCTGGGCCTCTGGGTTGGGAGCACCAGCTACCACCCCTCTCTTTCCTGCCCCCAATGCCTGCCAGACTTTTGCTTTTGCCTGGGCCCCCTCCTGACCAGCCTCCTTGCCCCGTCTGGGTGGGATTTGGGGGCTAAGCTGTCTGGGGTCCCAGGACCAATGCAGTGCCGGATCCTCCGGGGCCTGGCTGGGGCCCTCGTCACCCTTCTGTGCATGGGGCTCCTCTCTCTATGGTATCACTCCAGCCTGTCCGCACAGGGCATGCAGGAGACCTCTGGGCTGAGCCCACCAAGCCCTCGGCCCCCTGAACTGCAGCTGCACGATGTCTTCATTGCAGTCAAGACGACCTGGGCCTTCCACCACTCCCGCCTGGAGCTGCTGCTCGACACGTGGGTCTCCAGGACAAGGGAACAGGTGACAAGTGGGAGACAGGAGTGGCCCCTGGCCTAAGGGACTCAAGGAAGTCTTGCTGTTGGGCTGGGGTCCCTGGTGACCTTGAGGGAGATGCTGCCCACCCACCTGCCCAGTGTGGGCTGGTCTTTCCTCCTTCCTCCAGGATGGAAGGCTTGTGCCACCCTGCCTGTGCCCATGCTGGCCCTGGAGCCAGGAGCTCTGCAGGCCCACTGCTGCATTTCTTTCAGGGGCCAGGCTGGGCCCCTGCCCCAGACCCCTGGGTCCCTCATGGGGTTCTCTCTATTCCCTGGCTGTTGGCTCCTGCCCATCCTGGCTCAGCCTGGCACTGGGGGCAATGGAGGGCATTGGGCAGCCGGAGTAGAGGCCTCTGAGAGGTCCTGACTCTGACCTGCACCAGGCCAAGCTGCCCCCAGTCCAGTCCCTGAGGTGGAGAACAGGGGCTGAGCCTCTGGGGAGGGGAACATCCAGGTGGGCCTGCTTGGGGAGAGGGGCTGGGGTGGGGACATCCTTTCAGAATTCTTGGTGGCCCTGTCCTCGTGCCTCTGCTGCCCAGGGCTCCTGGGCCTTCCTCCTGTGGGTGCTTTCTGAGGGGGCAGGGGTGCTGTATGTTCTGATGGCAGTGGCTGAGGCAGTGGTGGGCAAGAGATTGGGCAGCGGCCCACCCGGCATGTGGGACTGTGTGCGTGTCACTCGTGGAGTCAGTGTTAGACATGCTATGATGAGGTATGTGGGTGACAGGGGTGTGCGGTGTGTCTTTCCGGGGTGGCATCTCTGACAAGCTGAGTCCTTTCTGCCCTTCCTCTCCACACATGCAGTGTCCCCTCAAAGTCAGGGCTTTAGGGGTGTTGGGAGCCCTTCTTTGGGGAGGGCAGGGCAGATTTGCCCACATACATACTCTGCCCCACTTTGGTGGCTGGTTCAGTGGGAGGAAGTGACTGAGCCTTTGGAGGGGGTTGAGGGTTCCTGGAGACAAGGGAGGTGGTATCTGGAAGTGGCCAGGGGCCCCTGGGGGGTACCGTTGCCCTGGTTTCCTGTCCCTGAGGTCCTAGCACCCTGGATTGCCCCTCGTCCCACCAGCTCTGGTACTGCAGGCTTTCCCTGGGGCCCAGCACCGTTTCTCATCTTGGGGATTCTGTGCCGCCTGCGGAAGCCGCTGAGCCCGGCCCTCCCCACAGACCTTCCTGTTTATAGCGCTGTGTTCTGTGTGCGCCTGGGAGCATGGCCTCACATGGTCTGAAGCCCTTTCCTGTCTTGTCTTGAGCACCATCGTGGTGCCCTTGCCCCAGATGAGGAAACTGAGGCCAGAGGGGAGGAAATGCTTGCTAGCATCACCCCAAAGGCCTGAGGGTGCAGTGCCCAGTGAGACCTAGCCCTCACTTCCCAGCTGGGGCCCTTCCTTTTCTGCTTCCCAGGGCTGCCTGGTCACTGGGCTACAGGAGAGGGTCCTTGGGCCTCCAGCCTGGGAGGCTGGGCCTGGCAGAGGAGAGACAAGCAGCCACATGCACTGTGCCTTAAACTCAATCTCAAATGCCCACCAGGCAGCCAGGGGGAGCACCTGCCAGCTGCTCAGCAGCTAAGGGGCTGCATATCCGATGTGCCGCTCTGTTTAACCGTCACAGCAACCTCGAGTGGTGGGTGTTGGTATTCCCACTTCATATGAGCACCGTGAAATAGAGGTAAGAGATGAAGTCACTCAGTTGGTCAGCCCTCCCTTCCTACCCCTAGCCCCACTCCCAGAACAAGGGGCGGAGCCCAGAAATCTTGACTTTGAAGAGTTTAAAGAAAGAAGAATGCCCAAGCAGAGGAAGAGAGGAGACAGGGAGACCCTCTCTACCCCTGCATCTGTGCCACCTCCGTCTTCTCCCTTTGGCTCCCCTCTCTTCGTGACCTTAGCTAAGGCCTTCCCCCTTTCAGCCCTCAGTTTCCCCATCTGCACAAGATGGGAGGGCCTCAGAGCCTCTCTCAGCTCTGCCTTCAGCAGTGGGCCTGAGCTGGTTAACTCCGGGGCTGGCTGCTGGTCCCAGCTGGTTAAGGGTGGCCGGGTGGCAGGTGGGCCTTTGTGGTGTCTCCGGGGCTGGGCTCTGGTGCCTGCCTTTGTCCTAGGCTGAGAGGGTGGGCTTGGGGAGGCACACTTTGTGATCTGGGGTGGGGCGGGGTGGGGGGTTTTCTCTTCCCCACAGGCCCCTCGAGGGTGGAGTTTGGGGGGCAGGAGTGAGGGCCCACACCTCCCTCCTCTGCGGCAGATGGCCCTTGGCCCCTCCCTCCCTTCACCCCAGCAGGCTGCCTGTCCCTTTGTTTTCCTGTGAGGTTTTAACCATTGTCAGGGTTTCCTCCTTAAACAAATCAAATTCAACCCTCCGCTCAGAGGGAACTCTGCCCACTGCTCTGTGCCAACCTCAGGATTCCCAGGGACTGAAACATTAGCCCCCAGGCCCTGCTGCAGGATCCTGCGCCCCCTTCCCGCTCTGATTCATTAGGGCCTACTCATCCATCAACAAACATTCCCTGGCCCATTTGGCCCATGCTCCAAATTCCAGAGTTCCACTATCTGGTGGCTGTTTGGTGGCAAAAGTTTGCCAGGGAACAGGACAAGAAAGGCCTGACTTATATTACTGGTTCCCTTGGGGACTGTGTTGAAAACAGACATGGGGTGGGAGCAGGACCGAGCAGGGAGACCAGGGGAAAGGTGGCCACAGCAAAAGCAGGCAGGAGGTGACAGAGGTGGGCTGGACCACAGAGTGGCCGTGGAGGCTGATGGGGTGAGGTCGCATTCTGGCTGCTTAGAGGTTTGGTGGACAGTTTGCTGACAGATTGAATGTGAGCTGTGAGAGAGAGGAGGCAGTGAGCCCAAGGTGCTGGGTCCCAGCAAGACAGGAAATGGGCCTGGGGGCACTTGGGCACTCAGTCTTGACCGCTGAGTCTGAGGAACGCACTTCTCACTCCAGGGAGAGGTCATGGCTGCAGTGGGATTTGGGAGCTAGCGTGAGGCCTGGGCTGGAGGTGTGAACGTGAGACTCCCTGCCTTCCTGACGGTGTTTAAAGCCCAGAGGCTGGATGGCATTGCCGAGGGAGGGGGACATAGGGGAGAGGGGCAGGGCCTGGGCTTGGACCACCCACACTTTCCCCAGGGAAATTCAGAGACTCCCAGGGTTAGTTGGACCTGACGGTGGGAGAAAGACCCCAGGGGGAGGGGCTCAAAAGGTGGACACTGTCCAGGCCTCCCGAAGGGAAGCTGGGTGCCAGGACAGGGTGATAAATCAGACCCTCCAGGATGTCACTGTCTGGTGGGAGATACGAAGGGATAGATTTCCATATCCGAGGGGCTGCTGTTAATATTGGGAGAAAAGGAGGCTGAGGGGCACATGGAGGGGTATCAGGGAAAGCCTCCTGGAGGAGGTAATGAATGGGCTGGGAACTAGGGGCCAAGGAGAGGGCACAGCAAGTGCAAAGGCTCAGAGGGTGTGTGTGTGGCATAGCTGAGGAACTGAAAGCCCTTCAGGTTTAAGGGAAACTGTGGAAGTGGTGAGATAGGCTGCCTCAGGCACAGGGGCCGGTGGCCCCTCATTGGTCACAGTTAAGGGGCTGGTTTTTATCCCGAGGGCAGTAGGGAGCCAGAGAAGGTGCTAGTAGGGGTGGTGGGAATGGGTATTATCTAGTTCTGGTCCCGACAGGAAAACAGAACATGGGAATGAGGCAAGGTCTTGGAATAATCCATTGAGAGATAACAGTGGCTCAGAAGAATGTCTACCTGCTGCCTCTGGAGAGCCTGTCTCTGCCCCTCATTCAGTTTATTTAGGGGCTGTGTGGTTTCCTCCTGCCTGGGAGGTGGCAAGGAGCGGTCTGAATCCCAGCTCAGCACTTGCGAGCTGCACCAACTTTACCTGCCACTTAGCCTCACCGTTGCCATCTGTGAGAGCAATGAGTCCTGTCTTGAGGCTCAGTGAGGTCCTCAGGGACCAGGAGTGTGGCAGCTGGTGGTGGGCTGCCTCTCCAGTCTGGAAGAGCTGGATTGGGTCACAACATGACATTTCTGAGATGTCTAAGGGCCCCTGCACTTGCCCAGGGAGTTTGTGTGGCTGTGAAGATTGTGACTGTTTCCCCACCAGGCGTGTGGGTCCCTCCAGAGTCTGTCCCCTGACCTGGTGTCTAAGACTGTGTATGTGTGATGGTGGAGGTGCCATATGTGTGTGTGTAAGAGAGAGAAGAGGGTGTGATTCTGCCAAGGGCATGGGACTGCTAGGGCCCCGTGGGAGCTGGTCGGCGGGGTGCTGAGTGGGAGGCTGATGGGCTGGTTTGCACCGTGAAGCCAAGTGCCCACAAAAGCTGGTAGTTGTGTGTGTGGCATGAGGGGGGAGGTAGCGGAGAAAGTCCTGTTGTCCTAAAGGAGTGTGTGCTGCCGAGAGCGGTGTGTGTCGGTCACTAAGGGAGCACGGAGGTCTGGATGGGGCATTGCTGGGGGCTTGGTGGCGAGCCTGTGGGCTGGCCTGGGGACTGCTCTCGGCTGACCCCAGCCCTGACCCCTCTTCTCCTTTCTAGACCTTCATCTTCACCGACAGCCCCGATAAAGGCCTCCAGGAAAGACTGGGTAACTCTGGGTTGGGTCGGGGCCCCTCCGCTATGGCCAGATAAAGCTTGGGTGGCTGTCCCTTGGCCGGGGTGTCCCTAGGAAACAGGGCTGCCCACCCTTGGCATGTGCGGACTTCCCCTTTACCCAGGAGGGAAACAGCTTCTTGCCTGGGAACAGGTATGGGTGTGCGGAGGGGCTGTGCTGGACAAGGCCCCGTATACCCAGGTCCCAGCCCAGCCTGCTGTCTCCCAGGCAGGTCAGCCGTCCCTTGCCTCAGTTTCCCCATGCCTAAAATGGGAGTGGGTGGACTGCTTTGGGCTCTCTGAGGCCTTGCTTTGCATTCCGTGTGCAGGGCTGTGGAGACGAGCTGGGCAGCACCCCCTGACCTTTCCTTGCTTCTCCAGGGTCCCACCTCGTGGTCACCAACTGCTCTGCAGAGCACAGCCACCCTGCCCTGTCCTGCAAGATGGCTGCTGAGTTCGATGCCTTCCTGGCCAGTGGGCTGAGGTGAGTGCACTTGGGTCTCCAGGGATAGGCCTGACCTCTGACTCAGGCCAGGTCCTGAATGGGGTGTTGTGTCAAAAAAGTGAAGTCATCTGGGCCCGGTGGATTTAATCTTGTAGGGCCTTTTGGGGTCTGTCTCTGGGCAGACTGTGTACAAATGTCACTCACTGGTGGTGTGACCTTGGCAAAGTGTCTTAACCTTGCTGAGTCCTGGTCACCACCTGTTAAGTGAGCACACCTTCCTCAACTCCCACGAGACGCTGCCTGGCACAGAGCAGTTGCCTTGTGAGCCACCCCATATCATCACTGTTTGTTGACTGATTATGGGGTGCAGGGGGAGTCTGGCTGACTGGCAGCCCTTGGGAACTCGTACCCCCAGTCTCATCCTCTCCCCTTCCGTCCTCACAGGTGGTTCTGCCACGTGGATGACGACAACTATGTGAATCCGCCTGCGCTGCTGAAGCTGCTAAAAACCTTCTCGCGGACCCGCGACGTCTACGTGGGACGTCCCAGCCTGAACCGGCCTATCCACGCGTCTGAGCCGCAGCCCCACAACCGCACGGTAGGAGGGGGCGAGGCCTGCCGGGGGCGGGGCCCGGAGGGGCGGGGCCAGGGCCAGCCCCGAGGGTGGGCGCTGGGCTGGAGTCGGCTGCGTTCTCTGGCTTTCGGGTTCGGCGTCACTGCTGTGTGTTTGGGCTGGTAGCCTGGTCTCTGATCCTCAGTTTCCTCGGTGAGATGGGAGCCTGACAGAATGCAGGTAAGAGCAGCGCACGGTGGGACTGAGCTGAGGCCTCCTGACTCCCGGGCAGGGCTCCTCGCTACCTGGTACCGCCCTGTGGTTGTACAGCGCTGCGGGGCGAGGTGTTAATTGCCGCAACCCTAGCCCTTGAACACTCCCCTCCCCCAGGCCCCCCTTCGCTCCCCAGACTTCCCAAGCCAGCGACTGAAGAGCTGACGTCTGGAGCGACAGGGTTCCCGACACCAGCCTCAGCTCCAGACCTGGAGAGACACTGGTTAGCCCTGCCAGATTTAGAAAATTAACAAAAAACCAGGAAACCAAGATCCAAAGATTGATTTTTAGATAAATGATGAAGACTTGGAAAATATAAGTATGTTGCATGGTATTCTCCCACTCCCCAGGGCCCGCCAGGCTTCTGGTATTGGGGTGCCCCCAGACCGTGAGGGCTCCCTTGGTTCCAGGGAAGAGACAAGGCATGGATCCCCCCTCTCTAGAGGCAGTGCCCGGAGCCGGAGCTGGGCACACTCTGGGGCTGTCTCCCTCCCTAGGTCACCATCTGCTTCATTAGGGAAACCAACAGCAGGGAACACAAAACCTTAATTATCAGCAGCTAATCAGGCTCTGAGCCCTAATTAAACCCTCCTGGGCCCTGGGGGTGTGTGTGTGTGTGTGTGGACTCCAGGTGCGGAGTCCCCCAGCCTCCAGCACCACCTCACCCCTGGCCTTAGGGAGTGAGAACTGCTCTGGAGGCTGACTCCCTGGGTTCACACACCAGCCCTACCACTCCCTGGCTTCATGACCTTGATTGAAGTCACCCTACTTCTCTGTGCCTCAGTTTCCTCATCTGTGAACTAGGTGATAACAGTCCCTACCTCATAGGGTGGATGTGAGACATAAAATAATTAAATGAGGTCATCTTTCCAACTGCTTGGAATGGGACTTGGCCGGTGACAGACACTAGTAAGTGTTACCTATCGGTGTCCAACTCAGCTTGTTGGGCCGTGTTCTTCCTGTGCAGTTCAGCACCCTGCCGGGCACACCCAGGCTCTGGCCCCATAGTGTGCAGATGCCCTCCTTGGCACACACCCAACCAGTGGCATCCCTGGACTCCACTGTGAAGTGTCCCAGCCTGTTCAGATCCCTGGGGGGACAGCAAAGGGGGCAAGAGCTCTGGGCCGGGGTCAGTCCCAGCTCTGGGATGTCAGGTGAGTAACATCACTTATTTGTCCCTGGTCGCCTCACCTGTGGCATGGCCCTTAGTGCAGGACTTGGCCCAGTGAGTGCTTGGGGTTGAGCACTGGCACTGTGACTGCTATTATTATACTTACCTGGGAGGAGGCTGTGAACCCTTAATTCATGACATGAGCATTGATTGGGCACCTCCTATGTGTGAGGTCCTCAAGAACCCATTCATTCTGCCTTGTTGAACCCTAGCCTCTATCTAAGAAGGCAGTGTTTCCACAAGCAAACTCATAGAGGTCTTTAGGAGGAGGATACCTCTGGGCCCGGAGGACCATCAGATTTCAGAACTGGAGCCGATATTGCACTCACAGGTGACAAATCTGAGGCCCAGAGAGGGCCAGTGACTTCCTCAGGGTTACACAGCTGTGCAGTGGAGGAAGCAGAGGCTCCAGAGTTGGGCTTCCCAACTCCCTCCCTGCCCAGGGCTCTTCTCATTGCTGCAAAGGGAGATACTCAACCAAACACGCATCAATTAAGCACCAACATGTACTTGGGAGAAGGTAACTTTAGGGAACTTGTTAGGCCAAGAAGAGGTACACTGTTTCCCAAAAGCCTTGAAGAAATTTATGGGTGAATTCATAGGTCCTCATGAAGCAGGCAGAATAGGCCTTGGGCTCTGGTGATGTTGGGTGGGTGCAGAAGGTCCAGAGGGATGCAACTGATTCCTGAGACTGAGATGTCAAGCAGTTTGCTGGCCTCAGGGCCTCACAAGCCAGTCTGTCTGCTTTTTACTTCATCAGAGGCTGGATTCTCTCTCCCTTCCCAGAGATGCTTTCTCTGCTAGGGACTGGGCGTGGTGAGGCCAGTATAGAAGGCCTGGTCTGGTGACTCTGTAGAAAGCATCTCTTCCTCTTAGTTAGCATAGGTAACTCAGGGAAGAATCTGATTAGCTGGCCTAAGTCATGTGCCTGTCATTGAGCCAGTCACTGGGTCAAGAGGTGTGGCCCTGTGACCATCCTTTGGGGGCACCTGCCCACTCTGTGGCCTAGGGGAGCAGCTGCTGTCTTTGGCAGCCCCTCCTGAACCACATGGGGTGAGGTAGAGACATTTTTCTGGGGAAAGGAATAAGGTGTGCTGGGTGACACACGTGTCATCATGTCCTCAATATGACACATGTTCTCTTTCACTGAAATCCAGCCAGATTGGAGTCTAATTAGTGACCCTATCACTCTTAGCTATGTGACTTTGGGCCTTGGTTTCCTTATCTGTAAAATGGGCATAATAATGTCAGGCTGTGGCAAGACTCCAGTGATGTGAAATGAAAAGCTTTCGAGCCACGCTGGCTGTGGGGAGGGGGCCTGGCTGCTGTCCCCACTCCCAGGCTCACCCAGCACCCTGGGCCCCCTCTTCTCCCCTCAGAGGCTGGTGCAGTTCTGGTTTGCCACAGGGGGTGCCGGCTTCTGCATCAACCGCAAACTGGCTCTGAGGATGGCCCCGTGGGCCAGGTAAGCAGAGACCCATGGGTGGGGCGTGGGCCAGGGTGGTGGCTGGAGTGTGTGTGGGACCTTTGCAGCAGGAAGGACTTGAGAGCGAGCTCAGGAGAAACTGCCTCTCATTTATGCTGCGTCACAGCTACACACTAAGTGGTGAGCGAGCAGCCTGCCCTCCTGCCCTCGGGGCTGCGCTGCCTGATGCGCTCTGCTGCACTCTGCTGCGCTCAGCAAGTTGTGTAATCTCTGGGAGCCTCAGTGCCCCAACTATGAAATGGACCTGATGATACAACAGCCAATGGTTATTAAGAGTTAAATGAGAAAATGTCTGGCCTGGCACCTGGTCAGAGCCAGGCAAACATTAGTGCCCATTTGCAGCCCACTTCCAACTGCTCATTGTCACAGGGGAGGTGAAGGCCAAGTGTAGGGGCACTCAGAGGAGAGAGTAGGGCTGTCTGCTTGGGGACAGGAGGGAAGGCTTCCTGGAAGAGGTGGTGTTTGAGCTGGGATGGCCCTAGAGGGTCTGAGATTGAGGGGGACCCTCAGAATGGGGAGGGGATACTGGTATTCTAGAGAGGAAGCGGCAAAGGCCTGGACAGGTTGTTATTAACATCAACACCAGCGTCACCACCTTGTATTGATGTTGACTCAGAGCCAGCTCTGTGCCTCACCCAGATTATCGTATCACTTGAGGCAGAAAGGGTGTTAGCCTTGTATCCACAGCTGAGGAGACTGAGGCACCGACAGGTTAAGCAAGTGACTCGTCCGAGGTCACCAGGTCCAGTGTCACTCAGTGGCTGGGTTTGGCCCCAAGGGCTGTGTGCTTTGCCACCTCACCAGCCTGTTCAGCCCTGGATGGGAGGGGTCCTCCCGAGGGGATTCATGTGCAAGTGGGAGCACGAGTGCCATCCTGGGGCATGTCAGCAGCAGGTGTCTACATGTGACCGGATCATCTCTGTGCCCGGGGTACCTATCAGGGCTCCTGCCCTGTTCTATGATACCTTTTTGTGAATTAGAAAAAGGTACCCCCTCTGGGCAGGTGCAGCCCTTGGGCACAGCCTGGGGAGCGGAATGAAGGCTGGGTTTCTGCACCCACTCGACCTCCTGGTCAGGCATCCCGTGAAGCCTCTGGGGACATTATGAGTCAGGTGATGTCCTTGTCTGGGACACTGCTCCTCCCTCCCTGGACACCCGGCTGACTCTAGCCACTGTTACACTTAAATGAGGAGAACAAAAGACCATCACCTCTTCTGGGAAGCCTGCCTTCTCTGTGTCCCTCAGGCCTTGTGCGTCCCTCTGACTTAGCGCCAGTCCTGCTCTGGAATGACTCGCTCATCTATCGGCCCCCCCCCCCAAGAACGGGGGCTGCTGTTGAGGGCAGGAGACGTTCTTTCTCACCTCTGAGTCCACAGCCCCATCACGGTATCTGGGACTAGGTAGAAGCTCAAGTTCAATGAGTGAGTGAGTGAATGAATGAAGAGAAAGGGAGAGAAGGAAAGGATACATCTATGAAGGGCTTCATCTCACCATTCCTTCACTCGGTCCTCACAACAGCCAATATTGGCAGGGCCAATATCATGCTCATTTCACAGAAGGGGAAACTGAGGCTCCCTGAGGTTTGTGACTTGAAGGAGGTCACGCAGTATGTAGGAGGCAGATGCCAGAGCTGGGCTCTGCTTTGCCAGCCAGCCCTGGCAGAGGGAGGACCCACTGGGAGGCAGGCAGGGCTCTTGGTGTCAGGGCCTAGGCCAGTGGCCACAGCACGGTTCTGTCCCTCAGTGGACCCCGATTCATGGATACGTCTGCCCTCATCCGGCTGCCTGACGACTGCACTGTGGGCTACATTGTCGGGTGCAAGCTGGGCGGCCACCTGCAGCCCAGCCCCCTCTTCCACTCCCACCTGGAGACCCTGCAGCTGCTGGGAGCTGCCCAGCTCCCAGAGCAGGTGAGCCAGCTTCAGGGCAGGGCTGTGCGTGCATGCGTGCGTGCGTGCGTGTGTGTGTGTGTGTGTGTGTGTGTGTTGGGGCTCCCTCTTGTTGATGGTGAAGGACTGCCTTAATGACGCACAGTGACTCAGCCCTCTCCATCTCCAGCCCTCCAGGGTTAGTGTTTGTGATGCTGAAATTCTTTGGTCTGGTCCCCATGACAGCGGAAAGGACCTGAATAGATGAGACGAAGCTTGTCTCCAGGTTCAGGCCGCCCTGCTGCCTACCTGCCAACTCTTGCCCTTCTCTCCTTTCTTCAGTTGTCCATCTTCCCTACCTCCCTCTGAAGGGGCCGTGTCTGCCCTTTCCAGCTTTGGCTGTCGGTAGCCCCCTCCTTCATCAACACCTGCCTGTCCACTGCTCCCTGCTTTTGCTTCTAACCCAGATGTTACTGCGAAAGACCAGGTTTCCAGTGGGAGCACCCAGGCTTGGTGTCCAGCTGGGGGCGGGGTGCCCCATCCCACCTCCTGGCAGGTAATGCCTCTGCCCAGGTCCAACGGGCACTGCCTTGCAGACACTGCCCTCTGACTCATGGGCTTCCAGCCCAGTAGATGGTCCTGGCTGGGAAGGCCTCTGAAATCTTCTGCCCAACAGGGAGTCAGAACCCTTTCACCTGCAAGTGACAGAAAAGTAACATAGAGTGGTTAAATGAAAAAGAACATTTATGGGCTGGTGTGCCTGAGAACCTGGGGGCCAGCTTGCTGGGTCTGCAGAGTCTGGGTGCTCAGACTTAGTCCCTGCTCTGCCCTGCCCTCCTTGACATTGCCTCATGCCCAGGCTGGCTGACCCCTCCTGCTGACCAGATGGCAGCCCCAGGTCTCCACCCTGGCTATGGGAAGAGAGCTCCTCCCACTAGATCCCAGCACCGGGGCTCATTGATCAGATGGCCCACGTGGGTCACATGACTTGTCTCCTACCAGCGCCTAGTTAGCGTTGATTGGGAAATCCTGGAACTGGGGTGTGGGGTTGGTCCCATTAGAACTGCGGGCCTGAAGCCAGGGAAGTGGGGGAGATTTGTGGCAGCCAAAATGACACCCTAATGGTTGGGATTTCCAGAGCACCCACTATGCCAGGCACCAAGCTGGGGGCTTTATTTTTTAACTTTGCTTCCTCACAACATTCACATGAGGGTGGTACTGACATTCTCATCCTATAGATGGGGAAACTGAGGCCCAGAGAGCTGAGCTAACCTCGGCACTAGTGCAGGGCAGAGGGAGGTTTGAACCTTGGCTGGCTGGCTCCTTAGCCCACTGTCTTTAACCACTGTGCTTGACTGCCTGCCACCTGGGGTCATTATCCCACATCCTCATTGCATGTGGGGAGTAACTCGAGGCTCCAGGTGGACAGAAATTGCTGAGGTCCTGCCGGGAGTGTCAGGGAACCTTCATCCAGGCCTGTAACTTACTGGAAAGGTGCCTCTCCTTTTGAGTCTCAGTTCCCTAATCTGTAGATGAGGGGATCATCAGAGCCTCCCAGGTAAGCTGGACTACTGGGGGTACCGATGGGGCTTGGCATGACAGCACTCTGCAGGCCTGACGTACTCTGGGGAGGGGGTGAGCTCCCTAGCAAAGCATGCATTGCCAAGCGGGGCGTTTCAGGGGTAGAAGTAGGCTTTTTGTGCCCCACATAATATCTTATTGCCATCCTTGCTTGTGCCCAAATACTGTCCTCTTGTGGGGTCTGCAGTGGGACACCCCCCAACCTTCACCCTTTTCTCTACTTCTCCCTGCCCAGGTCACCCTCAGCTATGGTGTCTTTGAAGGGAAACTCAACGTCATTAAGCTACAGGGCCCCTTCTCTCCTGAGGAGGACCCCTCCAGGTGGGTCTGGGGGCTGACACTGTAGGACGGGAGGAGTGGGGGGCTGAGTCCAGGCCTCCAAAGATGGGAGCTGGGAGAGAAGGGAGGCCCTGGTGGCTGATAGCACGGAGCTGAGAGTTGAGGGAGTGGCTTTCAGTCCCCGTTCTGCCACAGGCTTGCTGTGTGATCTTGGGCAAGTGCCTCGCCCTCTCTGGGCCTCTGTCTCCCCATTTATAACAGATGGAGGCTGGGGATCCTGATCCTGTGGGATTCTTCAGGAGCTCCTGGAAGACTGAAATGTCTTCTCTGAGCAAACTGCCTGATGATCTAATGGAGCTTCAGGCACTGATGGGGAATTTATATTTGGTCTTTTGTAGCAACTTTGTTTCTTTGGTGCTCTTTAATGGCTCATTTCAGGGGTTAGAGGGCTGGAAAGGGGGCTAAAATGCCACCCAGGCACTTTCCAGTTCTGCCCCCAAACAGGCCACGGGGAGATTGGAGCCATTTGGCTTAGCCCCCGATTGCTGTAGGGCAGCTTTGAGCACAGCCTGTGACATGCTGTGGCGGCAGGGGACAAGACCTGCCCGAGGAATATGGGGAAGCACGGTGACTCAGGTGCAGAAGAGGAGCGTGGCATCGAATCCAGTGGGAGCCGTGGCAGGGCCCCACCTAAGGCCTTGGAGGCTCGTTTGGAACTTTGGATTTATCTGGAGTCTGTAACCCTAGGGGAACCAGGGCTACTGGTTCTGAAGGTCTGCAGAGCTGCCTGGGACAGAGGGCTGACAACTAATTTGAGGGCCCTGGAGCAGGGCTGTACTGAACAAGTTGGACATGATAAGGAGAGAGAGTTAGGCTCAATATAGGAAAAAAAAAATCAAATTTCCAAGATGAAAGGAGCTGCTTTATAATGGGGTGAGCTCCCCATCAATAGAAGTGTGCAAGCTATGGCTCTCCTGCCAAGCGGTTTAAGAATAGATGTTAAATTCTCTCTAAATCTGAAGATTCTAGCATTCTAGATTCATGTGAAATGGGAAGGAGCTAACTGAGAACCAGGTCAGTGTGGTCAGATGGTCTGGCCTCAGTGGGGGCCTCTTCATGGCTTCTCATCTTTGAAGTCTCTCTAAACCACAGGTTCTCAACCAGGGACCATTTAAAGTGCGTCCCCCCACCCCCCACCAGACATCTTTGATTATTACAACTCGGTGTGTTGGGAGTGCTATTGGCATCTAGTAGGGAGACTCCAGGGGGGCTGCTATACATCCTAGGACACACAGGGCAGCCCCCAAACAAAGAATTATCTGGCCCCAAATGTGCTGAGGCGGAGAAGCTCTGCTCTGTGACATGCACTGCCCTTGGGGCCCATGGAGGAGAGGATAGGAATGGGGGTGACTGTCCACTTCTGATCTCTCCACAGGTTTCGCTCCCTACACTGTCTCCTCTACCCTGATACTCCCTGGTGTCCACAACTGGTGGCCCGATGACCCCTGAACTACGGGGACAAAGGTTGGGCTGAGGCCTGTGGTTGTCCCTTGCTGCCCCAGCCAGCCCTGAGAGCCTGTAGCGAGTACCCTGAGGTGGGCAGCTCCTGGCAGGGCCTCAGAGTGGTGGGCAAGCCCAGGCTTTGGATGGTGGCGAGCAGTGATGTCATCCCAGGCCCCTGGGAGGTGGATCGGACAGCCCAGGACAGGTGCACCAGGCGACATCCAGAGAGGCTGTGGGGGCCGGGCTTCTGTGGGGCTTGGATGGCTGGACTGAACAAGGGTGGGAGGCCCTTGAGCTGGACTGGGGCTTAGGGGTTCTAACCCTGCAGAGAATTATATGAGCCCCTGGGGAATTTGACCTCCATCCCCAGCTCTGGTCTCCCAGTCATCCCCTTGGGGTCCGGCATTGGGCCACTCACTCCGGCTCCCTTGGCTGGATCCCCAACCTCAAGGGGCCCCAGATGGGCTAATGGCAGGATCCAGGGCCTGTCACAGATACTGTAGTTGCTGACCAGACTCCAGTTCCTTGCTCCCCACCCCTTGCTGACCCAACCTGGTTTGGTTTGGAGCATTAGCATGCCCAGATCCAGATGATGGACCATAAGGAGTCCCAGCCAGTCATGAGGATTCTTCTGCTTACTTTCCCATCCTCCATTACTGTTGAGATCTACCATGTGACCCAGCTCTGTCTGGAGCCAGAGCTCTGTCTGTTAGTATGAACTAAACAAAGCCAATGGAGAAGGTTCTAGGGGAGGTTTTGCAGCCCCCTACCTCATGTTCCTGCTAAGAGTGTGGGTGTGATGTCTGGATCTGGGGCAGCCACCTTGCTGCCATGAAGGAAAGGTGAAGACAATCACCCAGCATCTAGTTCTGTAAGAAAATTAAACCCTGATTTCTTTAAGCCTCTCATGGTCCAATTTTCTGTTACACGGAGCCCAGTGTTCCTGACTGGGGCAGGGCCTTTACATGTCTGTCACAGGGTGATGGTGGTGTTGATTTGAGTCCTGATCTAGACAGTTCTGTTCTGCCCTCGCTGGCTGTGTGACCTTGGATGATCCACGTGGTGTCTTTGGGCTGTTTGTCCATTTTATAGATGAGAAAAGGAATATCTCCTTCACAGGTTAATATCTGGGTGAAATTATATAGTGTTTTAAAGGACACAGTATAGAGCCTGGCACGGGAAAGGAAGGGCTCAGTGAACAGGACTGTTAGTGTGTACTTGAGTGATGGTGTGCCAAGGCGTGCGGGTGTGCGTGTCTGTGCGTGACGTATACCCTTCTACCCATGTATGTGCATAAAGACATATGTATGGTGTGTGTATGTGTTTGTGCCCATGCCCTGTGTGTGTGTGAGGCACACGTGTGTGAATGTGTGCCAGTGGTGCTGCTGTGCTGGGAGCTCTTCCCCGTCTTCTCTGCCCTCAGGGTCTGCGCTGGGGGTGGCTAGAGAAGCAGGAGGGGCAGAATGGAGACTCGGAGCTGAGGAATTCAGTCTCTGGTGTCAGATAAAGGGGCAACTTGACAGCCACATTAGGAGCTGAATAATGCAAGTGCCCATGGAATTTCAGGTCCTGAAAAGGTTGGATGAATGAATGAAAGTGAGATTTCAGGCATGGTGGTGTGTAGGTGGGGGAGGGTTAGGGATAGGTGGTCTCTCCCCCCGCTGCATCATGCCCAGTGCTCTTGGAGCTTGGGTTCACAGTGGGGCTCTGGGCTAGGGGAGGAGGGAGGAGAGGCTGTGACCCAGACAGCCAGGGCTGGGAACCCTTTGCAGCATGGCCTCCAGCCCTTGAAGCACCTTGTTCCCACTGCTACTCTTCTGGGGACATCTGGGCCCCCAAGCACCAGAGTCTCAGTCTGTTTTCCAGGGAGGAGCCTGAGGCCCAGAGAGGCACTGCCATGTTCTTGTGGTCACACAGCAGGTCAGGTGTAGAGTTGGCTGCTTAGGCTCTCCCAAAGCCTCCTTTCTTTCTGGGCTGATCTGATGCCAGGCTGGTGGGGTGTGAGCCGAATGGGGGTGGCTCTGGCCCCGTGGCCCTGGTGGTGGCTGGGACGGCATGCTCCACAGCAGCTGTCCTGTCCATGCTGTGTGTGAAGGCTGCCGGCCAGCCTGTTTTTAGAAGCAGCAGCAGATTTGCGGGTTGTTCCCAGATCCTGAGGGTCGGGTGGAGGGAACAGGACTTGGGCCATCTGCTGCCTCCATTGTCCCAGAATAGCTGTGGTACAGAGGGGGAGCAGAGTCAGCAAGGATCAAAATTGGGATGGGAGAAGGAGGGAGTGTGGGTTTAACCCCTTGTGTGTCCGGTGGGAGTGTATGAAGCTCCCTATACTCTATGCTAAGGGCCCAATGTGAGCCCCATAGGCAGGGGCTGGCAGTGGGGGCCAGGTTGGCCCATCCTGTCTCGGCCTTGCTGTGCCCCTTGGGCAAGTATTATTCCCATTGTACTGATTAGGAAACTGAGGCACAGAGAGGGGGAAGGGCCTTAGTCCAGGTCACAGGGCTGATGGGTGCCAGAACCAAGGTTTGAGGCAACCTGGCTCGGCAGAGGTTGTCTCAGGGTGGGATGATTCTGGGGGGCCAGACAGCCCCACTGGGCACCATTCACCGGCCTCACCCATCCAATTGGCACAATGCCAGTTATCTAGCACACTGTCTGGTCTTGAGATGCTGCACAGAAAGCTCCCGGCGCAGGTCATTGCTCAATATGCATCACCCTGTCCTTTCTGAGCTCAGTGTTCTTGGCTGCACAGGGGGTGAAGAGGTGCTGGACTGGCTGTCCCTTTGCCCCACCATCCAGGTCCGGGCCGTCGCCAGTCTCACCCTGTGTTAACACAGCAGCCTCCTTGCTGGCCTGCCTCCTCCCCTTGCTCCCTGGCAGTGGACATGCTGGCCTCCGTGGTGCATCAGCTCTTCCCAGTCTTTGGAATGCACCCGCATCTCTGCATGTCTGGGTCGTTCTTGTCAAGCTCCAATGTCCTCTCCCCTTCCGATGACCCACTGCAAAGCAGCCCCCTGATGGCAGTCCATCAGTCACCTCACTCTATGGCCTTCTGCAAGGCCCAAACCCTCACGGACATGGCTCTTGGTGGTGCATCTGCTTCTCGTGTATTTACTTGTCGTCTGCCTCCATCTGACTGTTAGCTCCGCAATCGCAGGGATCCTATCAGTTCTGTTCACCGAAGCTCACATAGTCCATGTTCAACAGGTACTCGTGAGATGAGTAGAAAAATGAGTGAATGGGGTTTTTCAGATATGTTCACCTCTGTCAGTTTTAAACTTCTATGGAAGGTGCCAAAAGCAGTGGGGGCCAGGTGATGGGGGAGCTTTATAATGGGGGGATGTGGTTGGTGAAACTGATCATTTTCAGTATCACCCGAAAGGGACATTCTGGCCTTAAGTGCTCCTGATCTGATGCAGTAGGAAGAACACAGTGCCACCCAGGAGATCTGCTTGCCAAAATGATTGACCCTATGCAGATCGACCTCCTGACTTTAAATACCAGATTCTAGGAAACAGGGACAGTGGAACACATTAAATGACACCATGAGGGTTCAACCCACTAAATCAACAATGAGGACAATTCTGTGGGACAAAGGACCTGGCTTCTTCAACAAGTAAAATGATA